ATTTACTTCAAGCCATGCTCTACCTCTTGCTTCTTCCATGTTTCAATCATTTGTAGTTAACCTGATTAATTTACTGACTTTTTCTTTCTTTCTTTTTTTTTAAAAAAATCTATATGCAGCGTGGTGGCAATCTCACCATACCAGCAGATAGGTTCTTGCATGAGGTAGCCTTTAAGCTTTGGAAAGCTCCTAAGTATGGAGCATGAGCATGATTTTCATTTGCATTTTGTTCATGTTGCTGAGCTCAGTCTGCAAAGCTTCCCATTGAATATGTCCCACACATTGGACATTTAGTCCATACTCTACTTTTATAACCATGTAATAAAGTTTATCATGTTTAAGTGATACATTTTCCCTCTAAAAACAGTAAGAATCTGATAGAGGTTGAAATTTTGATATGTAATATTCTAAAAGATTAAGATTAAGATGTAGCATGTCGTCCGATGTTAAGCCCGGAGAAGACGAGGGTGAGAAATCAAACAAGCTAGTTTTGTGGCCATGTGCGTTGCAGGGTCATCAACTATTCTTTGTTATCTGACTACTTCCAAATTTAAGTGTTTTGAAATCTTATCGAAAAAATATAGGTGTTTAGAAATCTCATGGCTTGTTTAAACAAAAAGGGGAGGAAAAATAATTTGGCAAAATAGAACAATTTTTCTGTAGTCATGCCAGAAAATTTTTGAAGATGCAATATTTTCTTTTTAACAACAAAAAATCAGGCAAGCAGAACTTGCTTTCTTTTTTAATATATACAAATAGGCAAGCAGAACTTGAAAGCAATCAAAAGATTAAGACTGAGCTTGGAAACAGTCGAATTTATTGAATAATTGTGGGACGCCCCTCGCTCGAAGGGCTTGGCCCAAAAAGAAAAGGTTACAAGAATGATGAATGTCGGGGCCGCCCGTGCTACATTTATCTTAAAATTATTAAATAATTTATATTTTACTCCCATTTTACGAGTTTGCCATCAGAAAAACGCAGGCCCTCCCAGATCCACCCTCATCCGCGGCGGCAGCAAAGGACCCCAAGCACGCGGCATCTTGGAGCGCGCGCGCACCTCCCTTCGATCTTCCTCTTCTTCGACGCCGTCGCTCCACCTTCTCTCTTCTTTTCTCCTCCAAGCTCGCCTCCACCTTCTGGCACCTCGGCTTCCAGATCTACTGGTTCGCGCGTCTTCCTCATTCTCCATCACCTTTCTCTTTTTATCCATCATCGTCATCACTTCTTCAGACTTCATCTTCGCTTACCTCCGATGTTTTGTTTTTTCTGCTTCAGATTGTTTATTGTTTCGGCTGGTGGTCACCTTTGATCTGGAAGCTGTATTTTTGGAAATAAACCATGATTTTCGTCCGCTTTGTTCTCACGCATGTCTGAGTCACCCACTTTGCCATCCCAGTCTTGTTAGAAAATGGATTAGTTTTCTAAAGTTAAAACATTAAAGGTTGAAATTATTCAAATAAACACCATAACAAGTATATGCATGCATGCAAATAATTCTTTCATGTGTACTTTAAAAGTTTATAATTCTGGGAAAGAATAGAATCTGAGCATGCAAGTGGTACTCCAAAGGTGTCAAGTTTAAATGGTATTGGGTCTATTTTTGATATTTCCGACGTTGGCTTATGCTCTCCGATGTTGTTTCTTTCGCTCTCCAAGTAAAATCAGGCTGCCGGTCGTTGGTCTCGTCATTTGATGGAGGGGGCAAAAAAGATTGCCTTTCAAAATGGTTTGAGTTCGGGTCACTGGCCAGGATGGGCCGGGCTGAAAACTGCAGCTTTTGTCGCTCTCAGGATGGGCTAGAGGCAGGGGCTCCGGACGGCCTGTCCCTGCCCGTGCACCCTAATCAAGGCCCAGATGGCATCGAGATGCAACGTTAAATAAAGATGTACAGTGTTGGTCATATCATCTTTAGCATGCAAATTTGCTCATTTAAAAAATACAGATATATGGACAGATGGAATAACAGTATACTCTTGAAGTTTCAATTTATTGTTATTGAAACAAAATAAACACTTCCAAGATATTCACCAAAAAGCTGTGTTGTCTCTTCTGATTATAATCCGCGGCTACGTGACATGGTTTCAGCAACCCTTCAATTCAACAGATCACATATGCTATCGATCACTATGCCACTTGCAAGCTGACCCTTCAATTCAACAGCGCTTCTAGCACTCCAATAGATTTTTGACAAGGTAAGAACCCAACACAAACCACCCCATCAAAAGGAGAGAGAATGAGAATAACCCAAGCAAGAATGGCCACCCAACAACGAGGATACCCATGGAAACAACCAGAACAAATGGCAGGAAAGCCCTCACAATTGACCAGAGGTCGACCCAGTGCCCCTTGAATAAAATCAGAGCTGCTACATTGACCATGTTCCAATTCATGGATCCACCGTAACACAGCCGATTGAGACAGTTGGCAACAAATGAATGGCAGCTACATGTGAAAAGGTTGTAGGTTTTATTCTCAAAATACCGCACACTTGATCGCAAGGCATCATCCCATGTTATTGCAGTCCCATTCTCCGAATGTCTGTATGCATTCTTGCATGTATGTGAAGCCATGTTTGGCGGGAAGCAACACTGCAACATCTCAGTTTCCAGATCAAGGTTGTCAATTAAGAGTTGGAACTTTCAAACAGTTTCATGACATTTTAATGGGGAGAGGGAGGGGGGAGGCTTGAAAACTGGAGTCGGTGGAATATTTTCACCTAGTTTGGTGACTCCAACCGGATAAATTTTCTTCGAAAAACGAGGTGGAATCACCACAGTAGGGAAAGGCCTAAATAGGGTGCAGAATTCTTCATTTCAAGCTTTAAATCCCACAGTAAAATCCTCTACTCTCAGATTTATAGAAGACATGTCCCGCATGTTCTCACTTTCTAGGAGGCCTCTAGGCTCTACCTCCAAATGCAGCCGTTCCCAACTAGGACGTTGTTATTATTGCCAAAATTAGTTCTGTAGGTTATTTTTCTTAGAAAATCACGTGAGAAAGTCTAAGGAACATTACCTGATTACGATCAAGTTGCAGATATCTCGCTACTGCACCAAATGCAAAATCGTCAACATTCACAAAATTAGATCCTGAAAAATCTAAAACAACTCCATCCTCCCTGCAAATTCCAACATGACCAATGAAGGGTGCCAACCACGAGACAACAGGTAGTGGAGTCCAAACTATACAACAAGGAAACTTTCCCCTATTTGGATCAATGGGCTCTAGTGGCCACGGCTCATGCTCGATTCTTTGTAAAGAACTTGAGTATTCAATGTCATAACTTGCATTTAACTCCATTATACAAGTAGACAGCACAGCATACAGCCTTTCTACAATTTATGTACGGACGCATCACTTAATCAAATGATGCTAAGCTCCAGGCATTCCAAAACCTATTCCCAATACAGGATATAAGTTAGTATCTATTCAGCAATAATGAAATTTACAACACAACTTGGTTACAGAAAAAAATTTAGCACACGAGGATGAAGCACGAAAGAAAATAAGGTCTGTGGCAAGATAAAGTACAAGAGCACGAATGACTAACTGGTAACTAAGTCCTCAAATCTCTGGGCATGACCTTCATGCGCAGTTGATTGATCATCAAGCGTAAATATTGGATGGACTAGAGAAAGCTTTCGGATCATATCAGAAGAAGAAATATCAGCATCAGCACATATTGTAATAATTTCATTACTTAGATTAGGCAATTTTTTACTGCAGTTTTTTTACATCTACATTATTTTCATCCAGTGACACAGGCTAGGCGTTCTTTGCCTGAGTTGCCCAGTGTTTTCCGTTCCCACTTCTGGTCTAGCAATTCCGAATAAATTTTGTTTGAAATTCCAATGATTTAATAAAAAATAAAATGAGTATCCATGAACAAAACAGGCTTTTTAACCTTGGCTGCATCTATAATTAATCCTGCACATAGCAAAGATGAAATAAGGTATCATAATCAATTTATCCGATTAAGCTAAAATGATCAAGTTGGCATCAATCCGCAACTTTGGCGATCCTTATTGAATTCAAAACTGACATTTATACTTCCCACAGTTGACTCACGTTCTTTGAAGACACTCGCATTTGGACTTCAACCAGGGCGATAGATGAGAAGAACGCTAGAGATTTTGGGATTTTTTTTTTTTGGGGGGGTCCATTGATAAACTTGGAAGATTAAGATTCATTAGACACGAGCTCATATTTCTGTAGCTAGCTAGCGCATATTAACATCAAAGTTAATATGGAGAGCGAGACAGAGAGAGCAAGAAAACTTCAATAGCATCATCAAGGATCTTAGCAAGTCGACTTTGTTTAAAGGATACGTGTTCCAAATATAGAAGGAATTAACTCAAGTCTCCCAAAAAATGCTGAATGGATAAGCAACTCAAGGTTAGACAGAGTATTCCGTCACCAGAGATCGGGGCGGGCAAACGAATACTCAAATGTCCGAAGTTAAGCCATAGTAAACCAGGAAACAGCCCACATAGGAATATACTCAACTTTGAATAAGGAGAAGCAAAATTAAAGGAAAGCATTAATTCATCCGATCGTCATTATTCCGTACCTGAAGGAAAAAGAAGGTGATGACGAAAGAATATATGAAGCAAGCAAAAAGGCCTCAGAAATATGGAAGCACTCTGGAGAAGCCGTATATGTTGAGATTGTAGGAGACGAACTGGGAGCAGGAGCGATGTCCTCGGAGGGAAAAAGGAGGAGCTGGAAGATTTATTCTGAGGGGAAATCACTTTAAAAGGGGAGGAGGAGGATAAAAAGGATTGAAGTCACAATCCGTCCTTTTTCAAGAACATATAATTAAATCAAGTTCCACGGGGGAATTATCCGTTTTCTGAAAAAAGAAGGAAAAGAAAGGAAGCGGAAAGATGCATGAACCCAGGGATATTTCCGAGGCAGGGTCAGTGTGGGCCCCCACCCCACTTGCATCATGTTGAAATATAATAATGAGAAATTACACTCAGGTCCCACAGAGCACAATTAATATCAAAAAGGTCCCACAAAATCGTGAAATGATTCTGAAGTTTCCAGGGACCTGTGTGTAATTAATTTTAATTGTGAAATTACCTACTTACCCCTGTTAATTTTATTGCAACAATTTGTTTACAATCTCAACGGTGGCTGTTAACAACCCGAGAAGACGTGATTGACAACCTCGGCAGTGCTCATGACAACTCACTCTATGGAATGCCAGGGGCGTTGTTGAGGTTGTTAACTACCTCTTCTCGGGTTGTTAACAGCCACTGTTGATGTTGTAAATGGGTTCTAATTTTATTGCAGCAATTCGTTTACAATCTCAACATGGCTGTTAACAACCCGAGAAGACGTGATTGACAACCTCGGCAGTGCTCATGACAACTCGCTCTATGGAATGCCAGGGCGTTGTTGAGGTTGTTAACCACCTTTTCTCGGGTTGTTAACAGCCACTGTTGAGGTTGTAAATAGGTTCAAATTAACAGGAATAACTACGTAATTTCACAATTAGAATTAATTGCACACATGTCCCTGGGGACTTCAGAATCATTTCGCGATTTCGAGGGACCTTTTTTATATTAATTGTGCTCTGTGGGATCTGAGTGTAATTTTCCCATTAATAATTGCTACTTTACTGTAATTAATTAATTGGGAAAGAAATATTCATAATAAGGAAAGGGCGGGGGGTCACAGTGAAAAGGGCAATAATTTGGGGAGCCTTTGGGCAAAAAGTCACGGGCGTCATGTGAAGGACACGCCCGGGGTTAGGAGTAGTGGTGGCCAACTCTGAATTACACGGGTGGACTGCGTTGGGACGTGCACCGACCACGCACCCAATGCTTGCTAGTCGTCGTTTTTTTCTCACTATTTTACAATTACGTTGTTGCTTGCTTCTAGCGAATCAAGATTTCCGTGAACCTGATTTTGATGAATCTTGAGATTTAAAACTATCCATTTACTTTTTTTTTTAAAGCTTTTTTGGCCAACGATACTTTTTTCAGCTATCACAATCCACTGCAATTTAATTTCTTGAATGTTAGTAGAATTCTACTTATTAATTGGTTGCGGATATTATTTTGAAAAATCTTCACTCTTTTCCCTTCTATCTTTTTTCTGGTTTTAAAAAAAAATCTTAGCACTTATTTTTAATAAATTGATACCCAAAGCTTCATACTATAATATTAACGAGTTAGATAATCGCTTAAAAATTAAGTGATGATATGTTTGGGAAAAAGAACAGAAAAAGAGAGAAATCTAGACCTACAAGAATTTCAGTGTTCGGGGTGGGCAACCCGAACGCAAACAACTTGGAGATATAAAAACTCACTCATAATTCTCTCAGAAAAAAAAATATATATCTACATCCACATTGCTCCTGGTAAAAATGACAAATAAACATCTCAGAAAAAATTAATACTCCTCCGGTTCTAAATATAAGACCTTTTTTATAATGCAACTTACACTACAAGGGCCGAAAGAGTATTGAATCAGAATTTTTTAGTTTTAAAATATAAAGTATAAAAAATGAATACTGAACTTGAAACTTAAGTTGTGATGAAAACTTTAATTTAGTATTTGTCCTATTTATAAAATTCTCAGCGGTAATTCTCATTCACTTTCTATTATATGAGATGCTTTACCCCTTTTTTAATGTTCTCAACATATTTTTGTCATTTATCATTTATTTATAAATAAATAAATAATTAAAAAAGAAAAAGAATAGGAACATTCTCGAAAAAGGAAAAAAAAAAAAAAACGACATGTTTATTTCATAGTACACTACAATGCCACGGGACAAAGGCAATGAGGAAGGTACTCCTTCGGTCCCATATTTAAGACCGGCGGAGTACCACACAACAAAAATATGTACAGGAACTATATAATATGCTACAGTATATACGGGTTGCCTCTTCCCTGAAATTAATACTACACATGGAGGGTCAAGGCTTTAGTTGTGAAGAGAGGTCATCATTGAAGATCAGGTTCACCACAGAAGGCATCTGGTTCAAAGGATTTTGCAGAATCATCATTGTAAACACCAGGTATCACCCGAACTCCAGCCTCTTTCGATGTTAGATACGAGTTATTTTGGTTCCCATCAATGTTGACCAGGATAAGAACGAATGCAAATAATAATGTAGCCAGACTGACCAAAGTAAGTTTCAATCTGCTAAGCGCAGGCTTAACCTTCCACACAAACAGAATATAACGACAGAGTCAGTCGAGCATCATGCAGCAAAAGATCATCGCTTTGATGACAGAAATGCAAATAAAGATGGTTACTTTCTCATTTCTCCAGAAGAACAGAAATAATAATAGCAGCAATAATAACAGCAGATTTTAAGCTCTTTTAGGATTTCAGAAGGAAAAGCAATATGCCAAGAGATTACTAAGAACTATAGTTCCAGATCAGAGAACACACTCTGCACCTGCATCAACTCTCAAAACATCAGCACTACAGTCTGCAGATCCATCATTTCCGCACTGCCTTGTTGATTGTTACCCTCGGTTCTTGTTTTCTTTTGTTTGTTTGTTTTACAAAGAAGAAAAGAACAGGATAAGGGTCAAAACTAGACACATCAAATCCTCCCGACACTTGACACCAAAAGAGTATAGCCTAAACTAGGAATGTTGGCGGTTAGTTGTTACTTGAACACATGACTGCGGTAACACGAAGCTACAAATCTTGCAGTTATATGGAATTCACAACCTTCTGCAGTTTGAAGTGAAAAAACGATACCTAAGTCCTAATTAAGAAATTCTTGCGTATCAATATATCATGAATGTTATGGCCAACATCGTGATTCCACTTGTAAAATACTACCAATACACTATCTCTCGTAACAAATCTATACAGACAAAGTGAGAAACAAAAAATGCCAGAACAGTCGATGTTACTTAGCTCATGGTTAACAGAGTCTAAAGCAATAAAAAGAATGGATCATGCGCAGGAGCCCGAATTACATGTATAAAACTACTCACAGTGTATGATCCTAGGAGGCGGTCACGTGCCAAAATTTCACCAGTCTTCACCCATATCTGTTGAGAAAAAACTTGCTTTAAAGCATCAGTCATATTAAACTGGATAAAGAACCAGAACTTACAGCCTGAAGAATTCATACTTTTCACTAACAGCATATAATCAGTAGGGCATAACTGGAAGAAAATAGTGTGGTAAAACAGGGACAAAGATGCAGGGGCAATTGCACCTGTCTCGTATTCATGGCAATGGCTGATTGATTATGGCTACCTGTACAATGCTTAAAGTTGACTCAGTATTCAGCTTGTATAGAAAGTGTGAATTTCAGATCTACGAGAGATGATGAACAAGCACTCAATAGGGGAAAGGACATAATGAGGTTACTTATTCGGTTATTCCCATGAATCTACTCAAGTTTGCATTATTTTGAAACTATTCCTGAACATATCAGTTAAGGCACCAACAATAATCTCAAAACTGGAATTTCTAAGAAGAATTCAATAGAATAATACAGGAAAAAGCCGAAAATCCTATTTTCGCATCTTCGAATAATTACATTAGGGCACCCTCCTCGTAGTTTGGGTGGATGACTCATGCAAGAAACACGCTAAAGCACCGAATTATAGCTCACGGGACAGCTTGAAAGAAGTTGGAAAAGTCATTTCACCGTATAGAAATTTCACCATTGAAACCAGAACCTTCGATAAACAATTGAGATTAACTGCCCACGGTAAGAAATCATAACACTGAATTCTGATTCATTAAGATTTTCAGTTTTTCCAAGAGAATGCTAAAACATTTACAAAGAATAAAAATGTACCTGGCCATCGTACCATCCCGTCTCCTCATCTGCAAAATGAAGAGATGTTGTGAGAAGAGCTATATTTTCTTCCATATACATGGGTTCATTTATTCCTTTACAGAAATCGACAATTTTGTTTTTGAGAGGTGCTAGACAGAGAACAAAGAGTATACATTCGACGGTGGCGCTGAGCAGGCGATTGCCGATATAAGCCCAGCCCAGATACATTCTGACGACCGCAAGAATCACCGCAAAGACCCCACTAGAAGTAGCACATAAAATTCGCTTCAAGGGCTCCGATTCAGCCCCAACAGAGCCAAACCAAGAAACTGGGAGTCCGATAAAGAGCGCAAAAGAAGCGCCGGTGACGAATAGACGAGAAGTGTACTCAACAACATCGCCAGCAGCCCATGAAAAGGGGAAGGAAGTCGATAGGGACTGGTACTCGTTTATGGGCTGCTGGTCATGGGGAACAGGGCACTCTGTCTCAGATGGGGAGTTGCTCTCGTTTCTGAAAGACGACCGTCTGCGAATCAAACCTTTGTTGTGATACCTGTGGGAGTGAAGAAGCTGGAACTGGCGATTTGTGAATGGAGCCGGGGAAATGAATTTTGATGCCAAGGCAAATATGGGTCTTGGCAGATGGGAAGCTAGTCTTGGACGACTCGGTGATATACGAAAGACTGTGGCCATTGCGGTAGAGAGAACTTCGCAGTCTGCCATGCCAATACCTCGTCCCTCCCTCCTTTCGCTCCTCGCCAATATCCAGATTTTTTCAATATTCTATTCTGTCTATGTTAATTATGACTAATTAAACCTGAAATTGGATTTTTTTTTTGGGGCCAAATCTGAAATTTGATTGACTGATACTCCCTCCGTTCTTTATTATAAGAGACGAATAACCGAATTATGTTGTTTAAAAAAATAGTTAAAATTAGTTAAGAATAATCAATATGTAAAAAATATAATTTTTTTTAAAAAATGTCCTCATTAATAAGGAGAAAGAACATGAGAGAGAACAATGGTAAATTATTAAAAAAAGAGAAGTGGAAAGGAGGGAGAGTGTGAGTTGGAGACAATAAATATGGGTAAAATAAGAAATCAATACAAAAAAGTAGAGAAACTTTTAAGTGTCTCTTATATATAGAAACATGCCATAAGCATTAAATGTCTCTTATAATAAAGAACAGGGGAATATATTTTTGTGATGTGTGTAGGGTTAAAGGCATTTTTAGCGTGAGGTTTTTCGGCAGCCTAACTAGTGTCCAAGTGTATCAATTAATTGAAGCAGCGGAGCCTTTAATGTTTTCCTTTCATTTCTTTTTTCTTTTTCCTTTTAGGGTTCGTTTGGATCAGCAATTGAAAAAGTAGCTTATAGAGAAGTGAAATTGAAAAAAGCTAAATTAGATAAGCTGAATTGTGTTTGGATTAGAGTTCAGAAAAGCTAGATTGCAAAAGTGAGATTGGTAAAAGGTTGTTTGGATTATGATTGAGTAAAAGTAAGTTTGGTTGTAAAATGACCAAAATAGATATGAGTTTTAATAAATAATGAAATATGATTAAAAAAATAATTCACATAATACAATGAAATTAAAATAATTTAATATGAAGAAGTCATAAAAAATATTTTAAATATAAAGTGAAACATGAAAAAATAAAAGTATATTTTTAGGAGCATATTTAAAAATAAAAATATATTTCTAACTTATTCATTACTTTCAACTAATTTTAATTGATTTTTATTATCTACAAATTAGTTATTTGAGGCTTATAGTAAGAACCAAAAGAGGTAATAAATTTCTTAACTTTTTCTCTCTCCATATTTCAAAAGCCATAAGTCATAAGCTATAAGTCATAAGCTGTTAATTTTAGCTTATAACTTATTGTAGCTTTTCAGACAAAAGCCCGATTGCAAAAAGTTGATCCAAACAGACCCAATTTTGTCAATCGAGCTTATAGAGCTTATAAGCTGCTTATAAACTCCAAATAAGTGATGCCAAACAGGCACATATTCCTTTCAACCGTTCTTGGTCCATGTGGCATTAATATGTACTCCATCCAGTAGAAACACGCCACCTCAACTTATTTTGATCCTACGTGTCATCCAAAAGCGGGGCCTCTTGTTTTACCCGTCTCTTCCTCACCGAGAAAACTATGGCCCAAGATCGTAAATGAATCAGACGAATGGGTTCAGAAGCAAATTTTCTTCAAGCCAGTGATCAAGACTCGGCATGGGTTGATCGAATAGGGGGGTTGGTCCGTACAATGGATTCAGTTTACATCACGCAATCGGCCAAAATCGGCGGCTCATCGTTTGATCCCACCGGAAACAAGAGATAGTGCAACTTACCTTTTAACCATGAGAGAACATGCCATATCACTTTCAACCGACAGACCAACCAAAGCCGTCAGAAGTATGTTCGAACATCAATGCCATATCAGACGGAACCAAAATGACCGTTGATTTGTCGACGGCGTGATAACTGCCATTGATGAGTCCCAAGACTGGCGGCCGCGCCGCCGACGGAAATATGTGAATGATTGTGTTATGAGCACAGATTCAAAAGATAACTCATTTCAAAAGATTAACCCACTAGGCGAGACAGCCTTTCACGCTTGTAAACTTCTCTTCTCTTTGTAAGACTCCCCACTATGAAACTTATAATAGACTGCTTAGAAGCAAGAAAACTTGGGAAAGAAGATTCTGATCATTTGAAGTTAGGTCTAGCTCCTTAAGCAAGATAATAACAAACAAGCATTTACTGCGAATACAAATGTAAAGGGAATAATTTCCCAAGCAAATCCAGCTGAGCAGCAAATACGCCGAATATACAAATGCTTTCTTCATTTCGAGATTTCTGTTTACATTTCCACTTGAACCGCAAAGATCACATGTTAACAATTCCAAACTCCAAATAGGTCCTCTACATACAAATTATAATGAACAATTTTGTACCGTTTATTTTCTTTTGCCTATTTCTCTCCTCACCCCTCTTTTTCTGGTGGATTATTCAGTTGTCCCTGCTCCTTTTTTCCTTGGACAACTTGTCGGCCCTACTCTAACTCATGCTTTATAAAACTGACTATAGATACAATTGCTGTCAAGTTCTCCCCCCCAAAAATATAAAGTTTGTTTTTTTTTATTTTAAATACAATTTTGATACTGAACTGTGAAAACCAAACTTCAACCGCACTAATGCAGGTAGTTGGAACGGTTTTTACCGTGCTCTGATGGTTGTTTGCGCCTACCGCTTTGAATGAGCCTTACACTTCCCAGTTCAGCAATCTCCTCATATGTCAATAGGTAAAATCTTTAGCTGCTCTCCATGTTGGCATCCCAGCTAGAGGCAGGCTGATAAGCTCTTAATCCGTTTTCTTGTTTTAATTTGAAAGCACAAAACGTTGAAAGCTTTAGCTGCTCCGGATCTCTGAACCAAGCAACAACTATCATCTCAATAATTTGGTACTATGGCCAACTTCATTTGGTTTTTCAGTCGAATCTGTTCTAACAACCAGGCGCCGAAGGTGGCGGAGACGAGACATGATCTGTGAGAATGATGGTCGCAAGTGTGGCTCCCTGCATGACAAGCAGCCCAGATCTAATAAAAAAAAGCAGGATCCACTATTGACACATCATTATATGCATGCAAATCAATATACAATCCTGAACTACAATAACGCATCTGTGAATTATTATCAGATTTGATTATAGAACACGAATATATAAACACATATACATAAACCCAGAACTAGAATCACACTAGTGCGAGCCCGCCCTCAATTTTTCCAGCATCAAAGGAATGCCTAGAATATAAATTCTCTAAAGCTTTCAGGTTTAAGTATTATGAGCCCCATGGTCAGCATTCAGATGTCATGAAAGAAAAAGGGGGAGAGTGGATACTAGCTGTATGTCGGAACCCAACTTCCAATATTACAAATGCAGAACAAGCAGAGAATTTCAAATGTAAAAGTTGGAACCAAGAGATAAGACATCGCCCGTAGGGTTTCATGAGGAGTTTGAATTCAAGCTCAAATGAAACGTTCTGCATTGCTAGTAAATAAGTCTATAATCAATGTGATGCTATAAGAAAACATATGCCGAAGACTAGTACTAACGTTTGCCAACAATCACATATAATTTGTGCTACTACTGGATCAACATCCTCTGGAATTTCAAGCCGTCTATTTTGAAACCCGACAGCTCCAACAACCTGCATTGGGTTCAACCCCTTCCATGGGATCCTCGTGGTAGCCAACTCCCACAAAATCACACCAAAACTATATACATCACACCTGCAAGGCAGCAAACTAAACTGCTAAGTGCTGCATATAGACAAAGGCTGTCATGGAGGAGCGCACACAGATTCACATCTAACTTACTTCTCATTGGCTGGCTCATTTCTTAAGACTTCTGGAGCCATCCACTCAGGCTGCAGTCAAATAAGAATTTAGTTCCATTTTATATTAAAACCAAAAACAGGTCAGAGATGCATGAACTAGAAGGGTATTCACAGAGTTTATTCAAAACCATTTAACCATCAAAATTTACCGTTCCAGCAGTAGACTTTGAAGACAAAAAGGTATGGTGCTTCAAGCGGGACAAGCCAAAATCACAGACCTGTTAAGAGACAGAAACGTCATATATAATATAACACCAGATAAGCAGAAAAACAAAATACCATCACAGTTCATCTATTTTTAACAAAATATTAATCATAAGGGGAAACAAATTGTCCGCTATAAATCCTTGCAGAGTATGAAGAGGTATTGTCGCATGCCAGACACGTACCAAAAACAGAATCTTACAACGTGAGACAGTTTAGGTATCAGCATTGAAATGATAAATTTTCACACTAGTCACTAATCAAGCGCCATAGCAAGCAATAATCACGCACGTTTTAAGTTAAAACATGGCATACACAGCTTGGGAAATTTTCATATACATCTCCAGAAGAATATTTACCCATTCCAACATGCATAAAAATAAACAGCTTCATGTTGGTATGCAAATATATGAAATGGAATCGTATAATTGACTTAATTCTAGTTCTCATCAGGTATTCACTTATTTGCCAGTGTATGCATCTATTTGACTTGCCCAATTGACCCTTTTATAACCTTACTTTTTGTATGTCGGTTGAATGTTTCCTGGTTTTGATTTTCTTGTTCATGCATTACCTTTACCATGTTAACCTATGACATGTCAGGCCCTGAGTTTTTACAGTTTACTTTGTCGCCAATTCTGTCTCATGTCCAGGATAGCAAACAAATGCAACTTCTATATAAAATTAAGGGTTAATGAGCCAAATTCTATCACTATGTCTCAGAACTTACACATTTCATATTTGTTCGATTTTTCCATTATTAGGTCCAACAAATTTGTCAATGATGACATGGAAATGGCTTCCATCAGTCCACCCTCATTATTTTAGATTTTCACTTTACAGCTTTAGTTTTCTTTGGTATTTATTTACAATGGAATGAAGTAAATTTCTCAATGAAAAGTTTCAATAAGAGTACCTTAACAACCCAATGTTTGTCAACAAGAAGATTTGGAGACTTCAAATCCCGATGGACAATGGGAGGATGGCTTGTGTGCAAGTAATTCATTCCCTTAGCCTAGAAGATACAGTAAAGATTTCTCACATAAAAAACAAAAGATGTATATAAATCAAATGAAAATAAGTTAAATTTTTTCTACTCATACCACATCAAAAGCCATACGCAACCGTCTCTTCTCTTCAAGTCGAAAATTGGGTCGGTGTAATAGCCTATATAGACTTCCTCTGTACACCATGTCATAAACGTGCTTTAGAGAACAAAATATAGAGAAATCAATTAATCAGATGATTTGATGACAGAGAATAAGTTGGATGTTCTCAGATAATAGAAAAACAACATAATAAAAGCACAGCTGTCCAGAGATAAGTAAGACTCACTTCTCATCATTCAACCTGCCTACCCACTATAATAAGTCATTTAAAGCGTAAAACAAAAATTAACCTTGGGAGAAACTCTGTCAAGATAGAGGAATGTGGGGGTCGGGTAATTGCTCCCATGAAGAGCACAACATTAGGATGCCGCAGTCTCAACATTATCTCAACCTGAAGGTAAAAAAATGCAATGTACGGGGATAAATTTGTGTGTGTGTATATGAAAACATTGATGAAATGCACATAAAGTCAGTTGCTCACTTCCGATTTAAACTGAGCCAATGCATCACCAGAGAAATCTTGGTCTAGAAACTTCTTCACAGCCACTTCCTGTAATGTTAAAGCATTCATGAAAAAAAATACGCAAGATCATGCACGGTGGTAACAAGTGCAGTACCATTAGTGCTTCACAGGGACATAGAAACAGGGTGAGGGAGGACTTACGGTGCCTTTCAAGTCAGCATGATAGACCTCACCATAGGAACCTAAATTCATGATACTTGTATGAGTTAAAAAGAAGTAAACTAACAGATTTGGGAAAAAGGACACAAATTTCCAGCTAGCCATTATAGGATCGTCATAAAACAATGCCTAAATGCTAAGGTTCATTGATCAAACTACAACTAGACGGTAGCATTTTAACAGGCCATCAACAATTTGTTGCTTATCTCATTTAGGGTATAGGCAGGAGTTCATTATCTGGATACATAGAATCCATGGTTTTGGGGTGAAATAAAAATTGGAAGACCATTTATAAGGCAGAGGAAGATACAACACAAATCTAGCATATTTCAATAATGAGAAACTTACCAATACCAATTCGCTCACCAATTTGAAGATCCTCCCATTGAATCTCCCATTCTACGCCCTCACCTAGAACTGCATTAACTTTATCACTTTTGCCATCATATTTAGTGTGATCTCCATTAGCTGTTTCATTTAATTGGACAGCAGAAGCCTTATCCAATTCAGTGTCATTAAAAGCCTCTACAGCCTTATTATTAAGAAGATTTTCATCATCGTCGCAAACAAAGTTAACCCCTCTTTGTCTTTTGCAAGACACAGCTGCTCTGGGCAAGGACGACTCAAGAAATTGCTCTTCATGCTTCTGATGAGCATTGGATGAAGCGCTTTCTATGTCTAATGCTTCTAGCTGCTCCAGTTCTTCAATTCCATTACAGAAAGTATCTGGCACCTTCCTCGCATTATCACTGGTAGAGCACACCCCTTGAGGGGATTTGACAGACTTTTCACAGCTTGATAACAACTTATCTGGATCAGCTTGGACAGAATTTTTGACAATTTTTTCAGTAACCTGAGGAAAATCTTCAAACACTTTATCTTGAGCTGTATTTTGTGTATTAATATGTGAAAAGAGATCCGATGAAGGTAGTGCATAATTTTCTAATTGAACAATGTGTAAGTTTTGAGCAAAATCTGGGCCTGTTGATACATCTTTCGCTTGCTTTTTTCCTGCTGGTGATGCTTTTGCACCTGAAGAGCTTTCACCTGATTTATGCAGTGACTGAAGATGATTCCCAAATTTATGCTCAGACCTCTCTGCTTGATTCATTCCAACAGAATTCCTTTCAACTGGTATTTTTTTACTGCCAACACTTATTAATTCTTCTGGCCAAGCGGTGCCTACCGCTGAACATCTTCCAGAAACTGCCAGCATTCTACTTCCGTCATCTAACATCAAATGTGCGTCTTTTGATACCTCCACAATATCTGTACAGCTCCTTACAGGAAAACTGTAGTTTTGAAGCTGACTGCTGGGTATTTCGGCAGGAATAAGAGCACCAGGAGCACCCATCAGATCAATAATGAATTCACTGCATCAGTTTTACAAATAAATAACACTGAGTACTTTCCAATGTACATGCAAGATCAGTGGACTTGTTTTAACATTGTGCCTCATATGGTAGGAGCCAAAAAAACCAAGAAATGTAAGACGCATGGATTGTGATCCAATTTATTCTCTTAAAAGTTAAGTTTACATAGAGCACCTTATTGAAATTAGAGCATCCAAAAGGCATAGAGTGCTATTAATGTACCTTTATACAATACCCACCAGTTTGCAATATATAATTTATCTCCCACAAGTCACAGCATAAACCAAATTCACCACATGAGTTCTATCCATGCTAGAGAGCCAAATTCTCTAGCACACCATGATGATAAAGTGAGATAATGCATTTTTAACTCAACAATAAATCCAAATAGGCGTCACTTAGACTAGTGGCTTGCCCTTTTCCATTAAAAAAAAAAAAACTATTGTTTGTATCGCTTTAAATATGCATAGAAGGAGGTAAGGAGATTGTATCGGACAAGACCCACACCCCAAAGATCCCCAAACAAACATTAATATAGAAGATACGCGGCTGACCAAAGCTGCACTGAGCAAGCTTAAAAGTAGGGAACTAAAACTTTACCAAAAGAACATTACCTCCCATCATCAGCTTTGATCAAATTCACAGCTCCATCATCAGTTCCAGTGTAGTAACTCCCTTTGACCAGCAAACAGGGAACATTAATTCTATCTGAAAGTACCTAAGCACCCAGAAGAATGACATGAATAGCTTCAGATGAATGTCAACATTGAGGGTAATGCTTCTTAAAAGACAAACGGGGAAAATTCATTTTAGCTTTCTGTATATAGCTCACATAATAAAATCGGAAATGTAAATGCTACACTCAAGGTTGCTTTATTATTTTCCGTCAGGTTAAAAGAAAATCATCACCGTCTTCAGAGCCCACATATAATAATCATGCGACCATTATCACAACTAGCACTTGACAAACAGATCATGCTAAATGGGCCGCCATCCCACTCCATATTGAATAAATGCATCCGAATACACTGGAATGATGATTAGAAGACACAAAAGATTCTATCTCAAGCAGTTAAGTGTTTATTGCCAAAACGAAAAAAGAAAATGAGTCATGTGTGTCCATTTGGAAAGCCAATTAAATGAGAAATTGAAACATATTACAACCTTGAAAAGTAGGGCACGGTGACGTGAAAGTCCAACATCAAGACAGCCAATGGGAAGAACACTGGTTCTTAATGAATTTCTTAACTCACGGCTCCTCATGGTCCACCTTTTCAAAATTTCATCAGCATCACCAACTGGACCACCCATTCTATTAACCACAATGTCAGCAAGTTTCTGAAGTAGGCCACTTAAGATTAGTCCCTGTTCAGAAAAGTGGAAGTTCTTTAATAATTTATAGGCTTTTTTCTCAAGCTGCTTCAGCTCATTATCAACCATGCGGTTCACCAAAATCACTTCACGTTCAAGATTTTCTGAGACGGACGTAGTTTGCAGATCAATCAACAATGGCATCCTTCCTCGTTCAACTAAATTTGGGGTTATGCCATAAACATCATAAAATCCATCCATCACTTTCTCTTCGTAGTCAATGAGACTGTAGTTCTGTGAGTGATAAATGGAATACTAGTCAGAAATCCTAGCATCGTGAACAAGATTCAGCCTTCAAATAATCACTAAATATTGATTTTCTATAAATAGCCACACACTCGAGCGTACTGAACGTTCAATAAGAACCGAAATAAATAAAATTAATTAGTCATTGTTTTTGGTTAATATGATTCTCACTGAAAATTATGTATTTGCTGATGGATGGTGACAAGGTTTCATTTATCAGAAAATCAGTATAGTTCCTACATTATCGAGAAACAACCCCCATGAGAAAATCAAGATTTTCGACATTCAGAAGACAAACCCATTATTAGCGTCGATGCAATTCATACCTAAGGCCGAGCATCGTCCCCAAAAAAACAAATGGCCCTAGCCCTAATCCTCACTCCAGCAAAATAAATTTCAAGGCCATAATAATCGTTACTGAAGGCATGCCTAGTCAATTATATATGAAAATAGAAATACCCAATAACGAAGAGATTGAAACTGAACGAGCGCTTTCGTGTCAGTAACAGATGTCTGACACCCGAGGCTCATCTGCTTGGCAGCATCGATCTGAGCAGAATCGGGGTCCTTGCGGCCATCAGAATCAGAAGCACTAATTGCCAAAGCCAACTGCATCTGAAACTCCTCCTCCATGAAATTGAAATCTACTCCCTTATCGCCACCAACGTCAGCGGTAACATCAACAGCCGCCCGATCAGCAGCCGATTCAGTTGTAGTGACGGTAGGCATTGTAGGGGACGACAAAGCAGACGAGGATAGAGTGAGACTGGGAGTGGGGCTGAGCACTGGGGCAGTCTCCGGCGATAATCTCTGGTGATCATTTATACCGCCACCAATATGAAGTTTTCTAAGCAGATGCTTCATTCTGGGCATGGATCATGAAGAAGCACAAATTCACTTTTGTATTTCCTGAATTGGGTAAATCACCTCTTCGTTCCTCCGCAATGTGACTTAACCTACGACACCTGCACACAAAAAAGCATATTCCTTTAACTAGCGCAGTCTTGCTTGCCAAGCTTCCACCAATTGAAAGACTTCAATTAACCGCTCACCGATACCTATTCCCCCAGTGCGCTTTATGACCCCAAAGATAAACAATTCATGCTTCGCCCTGACCTCATGGTTGTCCCCATTCTATATCGCTTTTTATATGCTCCATTTACATCTTCAGCCTCTGCCTTCGGTTGACCACATAGTTTGATGATTGGACGACTGGTAATAGGCCAAGAATTATGCCCCAGGTTTACGAGAAAGTCTGGATTTATGTTTCCATGCTTGGTATCCCTTCATCGTAAACTAATTAATGTCAATAAACATATTATATAATACATATATCAAGTTTTTTATAGTAATATTTATTCTGTCAAATTCTCCAATCAAATGATTATATATTTTATTTTTAAAATATTAATACTTAATAGTAGTATCATTTAATTATACTCTGGTAAAAAAAATATATCATTTAATTATAAATCTACATATGAGTGACTTTACTAAGTTTTTTCGTTATATTATTACACCCCCTCTCGTTCCTATCGCTATATTAATACTTTTCTAAGCATTCAAAATTCTTGGTTATTTTTTCCCCCCCCCAAAATGATTCACTATATGATCAATTTACAGTATAATATAAAATGTACAGCAAGAGAGATTGGTGCAACTCACTTCTCAATTTTTTATAAACGAAAAATTTGTCTAGTTATATTTTAAAGAATAAAATGCTCTAATCCTCATTATGTCTCACCTTAATTAATTTCATGGACCTCTCCTACGTTTTAAGGCATACGTTTTAATCTAAACAGTTAATACCGTTAAATAATATTTTAAAAATATTCTAAAAATATGTTTTCAATAAAAAAATATAGATAGAATAATTAGAATATTGGTGTATTTTGCTTTGTTTCGAAAGGCATGATAGACAATAGTGATTTAGCATGTCAGAATAACTTTTACTACTCATTATCCCCTCAAAACTTATTAGATTGCACCCGTTAGTATTGCGCATCTGTAGAATTTATAAAAACGGCAATAATTTATTTCCCTTGTTGGCCCAAAATCAAGGATATCTTTCATTTATTGCTTTCCTACACTAAATTCGCAGCATTTACTACATAAAAACGAACAAGTTCATTCAGTAAAAATATATCTATAGTAACTTCTTTATCAAAAAATAGTTATTTAATTTTTAAATTGGAAAAATAAAATGCTTTTTATGGGCGAATATCCTAACACCCAACCCAATCAATTTAGCCTTGGGCTTCCATTTATGTTAAGGATTAGGAATCAGACGGTCGGATTCACGGAACGCAAAAGGCGCCACCGGGATTCCTTACGGATGATGTTTTCAGAAAGCAAACGCAAGTTAAGTGCCTTTTATGGCTAAGTGCAAAGAATCATTTTTAGTTCCTTAATCCTAATACCTTTAGGAAAAATCATCTACTTGTTCAGGAATTAAATTGTCATCAAATCATGAAATATAAAATCTAACAAATTAAATAACTAAGAATTGATATGAGGGCTGAATTGCGGTCAAGTTAAAATTACACTAACTTTATAATTAATTTTTCCTAAATTCTGTGGATTAATATTGTTGTTCTCCACATACTCCCTTGCAAAAATATGTAAATAAAAAATCTAGCATTAATTATTGCATTCCCCCCCCCGGCATTCATGGTCGTGTTTTGAGGATATATATATATATATTTGTTCGGTACAATTTTTTGAGGATATATGAAAACTAAAAAGCTCAATTCATTGTTAGAAGTGGGCAGACGATAAATGCCGCTGGAGCGCAATGCCCCATATTGGGGTTTTGCTGCATCAACACAAGCCCTGCATAGATATACAATCTGCCCAATTCATTTCACAATTCAAAAAAAGAAGATGATGATGATGACCATCTTCGACCAAGGAGGAAGCTACGCATGAATCATATGAATTACTCCTTTTTGTCGCCGGGATTAGGGATATGTTATATGTGCTGTTGATGTTGAGGGCTTTGTCTTGTAACCATAAACTGGCTATGCTATGTGGCCTCATGTAGCTGGTAGTCTTCCGGTGGGAGGAGCCCACTTTACAATCCATGCCGGTTCATTACTTCATTATCCCCTTCTCAATTTTTGGCCTGAGTTGGGCCTGATGGGCTTGGAATGCCCAGCTTTGTAGTTTGAAAAATGGTTCCTTATGGGCGCAGCAACCATCTCCTCTTCAAGGTCAGCATAGCACTCTACTTCATCAATGATCAATCCCTTTATGCGCAGCCCGACGCACAGAAGGTTGACGAGAGGAACATATTTTTGGCCAAAAATACATACAGCAAATGAAGCGACGGATGATAGGTGAGGAATATATTCATGTTGATAAGAAGAAGAATATAAATCAACAGTTGTTTAAAGAGGCTGGCCAATTAAACAAAAAAAAGTCATTTAAAGACAGAAAATTAAACGACTTTAACTGACCATTCATTTTAAGATGACGCCCTTTTTATGGGGGTGATGACAATGATGATAATGATAACGGATTAAAATAATGGAGATAAAATAATGTGGGAAAGATTTTGAATTTTGACCTATAGGCTTCTTCTTCATAGAAAGACCATGTTGAGGTCTTTAATACGAACAATGTAACTTTCCTTGAATTAGTTGTTTTCCCTTAAATATGCTGCGTAGGGTAGCTTGTTTCCTTGTTTTGAATGGATAGAGAAGGGAGCATAAACAAAGAGACGCCAAAGCCGCATCTGCAAAAGGGATTAAGGAGAGAGATAGTGATGGCCTCGTGTCATGGATCACAAGTCACGGCGAAAGAAACAAGTCTTTGATCGTGGCTTGGTAGAGCAAGAGGCCCACCCGAATCAAAGCAAGCACGCTGCGACGACGGATTTCGTCGACAAACGAGGTTTGTGCACTAAATGCTTCGAATTCCAATCAAACCAGGTGCTTTTGTGTTCCTGGCAACCAACTTGTAAGCGGACTCATATCAAAATCAAAATCCCAAAGGGGGTCACCCCTTTGCGTGCTTTAGTGAGGAGGCTGATAGAGACATTTCCCCCTCACATATTCGAAGCAGTCTTGCATTTGAAGACTATGCACTGAAGCACACAGAAGCGATGATTTGGGCGGCAAATCAACAGTTGAGAAGGTGGAAGAGAACTCGTATATGGGCAGGAATGCTTTTTGGTTGCATCATCTTCCTATTCTTCACTCCCAAGATCCCTCGCTCTCCTTACCACCACCATTTTCTTGACATGCGCAATCTTCTCGGTAACTGACCGCCCTCTCGAAATCCACCCCCCTCCCGGGGGTTTTGGTTTATTGATCGTTTAATAAGTTTGGTGATTCTAGTTTCTGGATATTTACAGGAGTTCCTAGCACTTTGAATGTGATCACAAATTTCCCATTTTTGGTTGTTGGTGTTCTGGGCTTAGTTTTCGCCCTTGAAGGCGGTGTTTTTAACATAAGGTATTGCTTTCTACGAGTTTATGACAATTCAAACAAAAATTGGTAATTGGACTCCGTCGAGTTGATAAAATCCGGATTTTCTTTTTGGCTTGGCAATGGGTTTTTCAGTTCTCAAGGGGAGGCTTTTGCCTGGGCGCTGTATTACGCTGGAATATTAGGGGTTGCTTTTGGCTCTGCCTATTACCATTTGAAGCCAGACAATAGTCGAGTTTTATGGGACACTTTGCCGGTTAGTATTATTTATCTACTTGATTTGACAACGCATACATTCTGATTGTTGAGCGGGTTTCCACTTTGTAACTGCTACTCATTATTTCTGAGTGGCAAGATCATTTTCAAAAAACGAAAGAGGTGTTACATTTTTATAGTAAACGGAAATCATAACCACGCGTATGATTTGAAATTTTGCGGTCAAATTGATATTGGATGCGAGGTTTTCTCAATTTTCCGACTTAACTAAAGTGCTTGGATTTGTCAATTGCAGATGATGGTGGCCTACGCCTCACTTTTCTCTTGTCTGGTTATTGAAAGAATTGGCCAGAGGATTGGATTATGTTGTTTGTTTACGCTTCTTTTCGCTTCCTTTCTCAGTGTAGCTTATGAACGGTTAGTTATTTGTTTTTAGCATACTCCGGATTGCTTCTCTATCTGATTTCTATCATCGCAAAATGCTAAAACTGTTATTGAGCTTTTCGCTGAATTCTGTCTGCTAGTTGGTTGCAGGATTTATAGTGATATAAGGTTCTGCGTGATATTCCAGTTGATTCTTCCTTTCGCTATTCCAGGAGTGGCTTTTGTGTACCCTTCGAAATATACTCACTCAACATATTGGTTTTGGTCAACGGGTAAACTTTGAACTCAAGGCATTTGATTTCCTGTCTAATTCTATTTCGCTGCCTGTTCCTGTTTTTAATTTGGAAAGCAGCTACTTATAATTTCAAACAGTGACTGAATAAAATTTGATGCAGTAATGAAGTTTTGAGATTCATTCTCTGCTTATGGAGTTGGGTTAATTTTCTTTGGCCTGATAATTTATTATGTGTGATATGAAAAAGAAACTGCTACTCACTCTGGCCATTGTTCATTGTGCTGATTCTTAATGGTGGACAGTGGATTCTTGGGGGAGTTACATCCCTGAATTGAAACTTCTACAGTTTCACCCATGAGCTGGTGGGTTATTTCATGATTAAGACAGGGAAGATTGCTCCTTTTGATTAAGCTGAAAATTCTAGTATTAAGGCTAGCTGGCTTATGAAAACAAGAAAAAAATAGAAAAATCACTCCCAAGATGTTAAAGTGAGACGATTGAAGCTCTATTGGTGATTGCATTGGAGGTGGCTTTTAAAAGCTGTAGCGTTTGATGTATGCTTCTAACATAAGGCGGGGCTTGAGTATACCATTTTAGCACTATCTGACATCTAAAGTTTTCTGAAGTAGCGTGATTAGGAATCTAATTTCTAAATTTGTGTTTGTTTCTAACACAAGGCAGAGCTCGAATGTACCATTTTAACACTTTATCTAATATCTAAAGTTTTGTGGCAGTTTTGTGCTTGCTACTTGGCTTTCTCACTCAGAAATGTCGATCAAGTTAGCTCAATAATTTTCTGCATCCACTGGTGCTTTTTAGCCAGCCAAAAACTTATTCTGATAGAACAATTCTGCTCTGAAGGAAAGGTTTTGGTCGTGAATATTTTCAACGGATCTAACTCCTGCCTTTAGTGCAAACCTCAGTATTGGCCTGATTACCATGATTTTATTTATGGTCTTGAATTGTTTTGGCAATGCACCATTCTGAATGATTTAACTTCCACCTTTTGTGCAAACCGTTAACTGTAGCCTTAAAAGTATTGTTTTAATTACATTTTACAAGCTTCTCGCACCCGTATCTTAATGTCCGAGGAGGAGCTTTTCAGCATGTCAGCTGGCATTAGTGTATTGTTATTAATTCCTACCTTCTCTTCTTCCCGTTTCTCTTTTCATTCCCATGTAACGGGCTTTATTCATAAACCCATTGTCTTTCGTTTGTTTGTTTGTTTGTTTTTTTTTTTTTTTAAATCACACATGCACACATTCCTTCCCCTCAGGAAGGGTTACACACACCCAACTGCAGGTTCAAACCTGTGACTTCGTCATAACTGAGGAAACATTGATGCCATTGAGCCCAAGGGGCTTCTGCATGAACCCATTGTCTTTTTAAAGCCCTCTATTCCGTTCTTTTGATTTGCTTGCGATTGATGTACATTTTTGTGGGTTACTAAACCAGCTAATATTTGAACCTGGAATGCATATCACACATTGAGAAATAGCCAAATTCTTCTTACTTGTGCAGGCCTTTACCTGCTGGCAAAATTTGAAGCTGCTGCTGACAAGAAAATATATGATGTAAATAACTACGTTATCAGTGGGCATTCTTTGGGGCATTTGTGCTCAGCACTGATCCCAATTTTATTTAGTGTAATGCTCATCTACAGGGAACTCAAGTTTCAAAGGTACTCCTACGTATTCTCAAATGAAACATGCTGTACCTATTTGATTCCTTTTTGTATATCGGAATAGCAGATAGTCCTTCAATTCTGATTCTTATGCACTAACCTTTTAGTCTTCGACTGCTGTACTTGGAGAAGATTGTGGACATTTCATGTAACGTATTTGTTGCATTCGTAGATTGGGTGCCCTCAAAGATCGACCTTGATGAGGTGGATAGAATCAATGAAGGCATTTATGTGTGAATTGTGATTGCTCCTCAGAGTCCGCAAATTCGAAGGGTCTTCTCAAGCCAGCGAATTTGGCTGAAGACTTGAACCAAATTCCCATTAATAGTTCCCTTGAATCCTGTTTTTACTTCCCTTTGGTGGAGGATCTGCAAATTAGAAGTTCTCCTCAGTGTCTTCTCAAACTATGGTGTCTGGCTGGAGAACCATATTCCCTTTCCCTTGAATACTGTTTTACTTTACCTTGGTGGGAATCTGCGGAAACCTAACTGCACTTGCCTTGTGGCCCCCTATAAGGGTGGGACATGGGAGTTTATGCATTTTGGGTTGCTAGGAAATATGTGTTAGAAGACTTGGGGTGATTGGCAAGAGGTTTCTAACTAGAATATGTGGTCCTTGTTAATTGAGCGTTGCCTTGTCTTAGTGTTACCTCAGAGTGTCACAGATTATTGATCAGTACCCTTCCCGGGGATTCAAATTTTTGTGTTGAGCGATTACTGGTTTCCAAGTTGGTTTGCGTGTTGGATATGTGAATGAGTAATATTGCAGAGCTGGGCTGTGATTTGTTGATAATTGTAGATTGGCATTTCTTTTGTTTGTTGTCTTGAATTATGGAGATTTTGCATCAATCTGGTTTATGACATCTTTTTGACGGTGGAGGAGAATTGCCTGGGAAAGATATTCTCCCTTCACATGCTCTTTCTTTGTCCTGAAACAACTCTATTGTAGCTGCATCTATGTATTATTATATTTAGAGAGATCGAGATCCATGTGGAGGGCATTGTCAAGCTCAGACCCTCAACAATCGGATATCTTCAAATTTTGGGATGAAATCTCATTCACATAAACGAGTTGATCGTGATTTTCCTATGAAATACTTCTTTGGTTCTTAACATAAGACTTATTTTATAATGTAATTTATATTATAAAATGAATCTTACATTAAGGATGCAAGCAGCCAAACTTCCAAACAAGCTGGAACTTTTTTTTGCCATTTCATGGGAGAGGACCTTTTTCATGAAACCAAACGGACCCTTCAGGTTTCAAATTTAATTATTAGTGTATTTTTTTATTATTTTTATAAAAATTAGATGGTTGATTCTTCTTATGGATTTTTATTAGTTAAGGGAATTAGAGGTAAAGAAGGGAGAAAAGAATCATTGGTTCATCCGGATTATTATATGAAAGTAGCGGCATACTTGCCGGATTCAAACCTAGGTGGTTGCTCATGAAATGGCCTTGTTATTTTGACTGTTTTCTGACAGCGCACGTAATCTTATTAACTTCTAACGGAAGAATGATTTATTATGACCAAATATAAAAATATTATATTTTTATTTACTTGTCATTTTAAAATATTGGACGACGACTCATAAAAAAATAACCGGGGGTGGGGATTGAAAAAAAAAATTGTGTGGCTTAATGTATTTTGAAGCATGACGAGGACAAGGAAAGATTAAACTTGGAAATGAAGGGATAGAGCAGGGCAGGCTGGAGGACTGGACACTGAGGAATAAAAAATGTGTCAGTCAGAACTCAGAAGATAACGACAGTGATTAATTAATTAAATATGCTAATTATTAAGCAAGACTAGTTAAACAGGAGTAGTAATTAACAGAGGGAGAGAAGGGGGGAAGCAAGGTATCCTATCCAAGTGGGAATAAGTATACAATTAGAAGGATACAAATTTGGATATAATAAAGTAATGATGGCTCAAGAGGGCTGGTCCGACTGGTTCAATAAGGGGAAGGCAAGACACCGTGTACTCACCATGTCTTGGGCTCAAATCCTGGAAAGCCTCTGTCTGGGGACAACTCCGGATTAGTCTGTATCCTTTGGACATGGGATACTGGAGGAAAAAATCTAAAAAAAAAAAATAAAGTAATGATGAAGGGACAAATAAAGAAAGAAATGAACGCGGAAAAACAATAGAGTAATACAATATATAAATATTAATGGGGAAAAAATAATGTAGTGGGGCAGTATGGGAATCTAACCTCGAGAGTAGGAGGAAAGTGCAAGTAGGGGCGTGGGGGCTAATTATTGACTTTGGAGTAACGCAAGTGCTAAATTAAATTGACCCCTCATTAAGCCCTAACTAATCCAACCTCAAGTTTCAACCCCAACTTCATTAAATTTTTTTTTTTGGCCCAGCCACTTAATTAAAATATTAATTGCTCCTTCTGCTTCCAGATTCTTATCCATCATTGCTCCTTCATCTATTTCTCTCTCAAATATTAAGCCCCGGCAAAAATCTCTAAATTTTAAGATTTTTCTTTGTGTGAGTTTTTTTTATTTACTGAAAATGTGGAACACTAGGATCCCTGCAGGCCAATATACATCTCCAATGAAAATGAAGATTCAAAGGAAAAAAAAAAACCTCTCTCGAGATTACTGAGGGATTTGCATTAGTTGCTCATCGTTTTGATGAGCATCCAATGCTCATCAAATCTAGACGGTTCAAATTTAATTTTATTGTTATTTTTTTAAATAATTATTTTAATAGGTATAAGATAAAAAATAAAGATAATCTCTTAACTATCATTCTTTAAAAATATAATTTTTTTTATTTTAAAATATTAAATCTGACGGTTAGGATTGCTCATCAGCCGAATACGGGCCCATAATATATCTGTCAAAAACATCATGACACGTTGATTGTGACACTGCCAATAGATGCTAGCCATTTATGAGATGTAAGGTCCATGCGAGTTGTGATTATTACTTCAATAATTAACGAATGGACATTAGCCATTTTGTCTCTGAGGGGCTAATATTAATGATTAAGATATAAAAGATGGCTGGATTTGTTTCTTACTTGGGCAAAAAGGCTGAGCTTCTTGGCAGTAACCGTGGCGAATTATAAGAAAAGAACACGTGTTCCTGAGTATTCTAAGGAAGAGTATTTATAATTTTATATAAAATTCGAAGTTATTTGACCACGATGTCAACTCGTTTGGTGGCGCTTTTATGTACAAGCAAATTCAACTTGCTGATTACGCCTTCATCGTCGGGGAAATGACATGAAAATACTGTTTTAAACTAGACTTGGATATTATGCATATAAATATATACATATATAATTTTTTATGTTATATTAAATGTAAGATTTTAATTCATTTTGTGGCTTATATTTATAATTTTATCCTCCTACTTATTTACCTAACTTATAAATTAATATATAATTTGATATAAAGAGATTATGTCTTATTTATTTTAATTGGTCAATTTATTTAACATTTTTAATTTATCTAAATTAGGTAAATAAGTACAGGGGAGAATATAAACTGATCAAAATGTGGTGTTCTTTTTCTTTATTATTGAAGATTTTTTTTCCCTGAAAAAATAAACAGAAAATCTGAGTTTCAAACCGTTTCCGTCAGCGGCTCCGCGTTCAGTCGGAATGGGTTGCAAATAAAATAAACAGAAAAAAAGACCTTTTAGTAATAATAATAATAAGAAATAAAAATTAAGTGGATGGTGGATCCCGTTGTTCCCGGGGCTCCACTCAAATCACGTGCTTTCAAAGCACGGAAAGGAAAAATGGATCTGGTGTTGTCGCCACAGGTTCTCACCCTTTTATATTATTATTATTATTTGGGAGAATTATATTTAAGTTCCACACAAGAGAAATAATCACTCTAAAGTCTCAAGTAACAACCTGAGCAGCCTGAAATAACAAGTCCTACAATGAGAATTGGGACTTGTTTTTTAATTACTTGGGACCTCATTGTAATTCTCCCAATGAAAAATTGATTTAGCACTTTTTTAATTGCAGCTTTGTGAGATCGGTGTGTGTTGGACTGACATATAGGAATACAAATGTAAAATCCTAACCAAAAGTAGGTTGGTCAATTAGCATCCCTAATGTATTTTCATTAATTAACTATGAGAATACGTGAAGACTTCAAAGTCAATAAATTGGATTAAAATATGATTATTAAGATTCAGAGGGAATTAATTCCTCTCTCTAGTTCTTTCTCTCTAGCTATAATCATTTCCGAAATCATACAGCTTATTGATTTAATAATACATAGTTTGTGTTGGCAGGGGAAAAAAAACATAATTTGTATATATGTAATTTTATAGACATACTCTTGTCTTGAAAATAAGAATTAAGTATGCCTTCTTAAAATTTTTAATTTTGACAAACTTGTTTTTGGCTTATCGTGCGACAAACATATATTTATAATCGTTCTAATTATTACATTAGATGCTCTGACGTAAGATGTATTGTTATCTTGTAAACAAGATTACATGGACAATTAAAAGATTGTATGAAATACATACGTATTCACATTTTGACCAGAATTTACTTTGAGGTTTGTAATGACGAAAGGATTGTAGCTAGGAAACATAAATGACAAGGAGATTTCTTCATAGCAAATGTGCTCTTCTTTTCTATAGCACATTTAAGAATGAATCTAAATTCTGAATTGTTTTTGTTTTATCGTGAAACACGACAAACATATATTTATGTATCAAATTAGATGCTCTAACGTAAGATGCATTGTTATATCATAAATAAGATAATACGGACAATTAAAAGATTACATAAAAATACATATTCATATTTTGTCTAGCAGAATTTACTTTGAGGTTTGTAGTGATGAAAAGATTGTAAGAAATTTAAATGACAAGGAGATTTCTTTATAACAATTAATGTATCGTTTACATTGTAATGAAGAGATTGTAGGGGATATAAATTAAGACGTGTGAGAAGGACGAATTTGCGACAGTGGAAATCCCCCCCTTCAACGCTCTTCCGCAATGTTTCTCACCGCCAACAGTGAATGTTAGACGCAAACTACAGCCGATGAACAGAAGTACTAAATTACATAAATTATATCAATAAGCTGAGTAGTATACAACTCATAGGTGATGTCTTCCAATTCCCTAGACCTTATAAAACCCATCAGACTTCATTATAAGTTGTACCATTCAAATCATTTTATTAAAATTGCATGTCATAATTCTTTTCTTTTCCACTTTGACGTGATTTATGTTTTAAAAAAAAATAACGAGTATGTTTATAAACATAAATGACAGAGAAACAAGCAAACTAACAACATAGGAGTGCAATGTTTTTTTTAAAAAATGATTAACATCAAAGCATCTGATTGGAAGGTATTTTTAAAAAAAGGAATAATAGCTAAGCTAAAGTACTTTTGATGATTTTTTTCCCCCTACTTATACGCTCTCCATTGATCATTTGAAAATTCATTGATTTTTGTGGCCAGCAAATTCCAGGAACAAACACACAAAATGTAAGTCGGCCAAAATATTAAGAAAATGAAAAGAATCGAAAGAATAAAGAAATAAATGGAATGAATAAATAAATAAGAAGGGTGAGGTGGCAGCATCCCTTTTGTTTGGGGTGGGGGTGGGGGTGTCTAAAAAGCCTCTGGTTTCGTCAGCCTCACACAAGCAAAGCTCATCCCCCTCCCTCTATCCCTATTCCCTACTCCCTACTCTACTCTCCCTTCATATTTCATTTCACCCCCCCCCCTCCTCTGGATCCCGCTTTTTTGTTCCCTTCCACCCTCCTGCGACAATGGCCGACCAACCATCCTTCCCTACTTCCAAACCCGCCAATACCAACGGCACCGCCGCAGCCCCCGCCGCCCCCAATGGCTCCGCCAATCCCGGCCCTGTTAAATCCCAGCTTTACAACCCCAACCGTCAAGTCTACCGCCCACAATCTTACCACCGCCGGCGACGCTCCCACTGCCGCTTTTCCTGCTGCTGCTGCTGCTTCTGGTCCATACTCCTCCTTCTCGCCCTCCTTCTCCTCGCTGCCATTGTCGGCGCTGCTCTCTATGTCCTTTATCGTCCTCACCGTCCCCAATTCTCCATCACCAATCTTCGCATTGCCAGGATGAACCTTACTACTTCCCCTGATTCCCCTCCTCATCTCACTACCCTCCTCAATCTCACCCTTATAGCCAAAAACCCGAACAACCATCTCGTTTTCTTCTATGACCCTTTCTCTGTCACTGCCTACTCTGATACCGTCGCCATCGGGAACGGAACTTTGACGGCGTTTACATCCAACCAGAACAACCAGACCAGCCTCCGAGCCGTCCTTTCCGATGCTCAAGATCTGGATACTGATGAGCTCACTAGTCTGAGATCGAATCTGAAGAAGAAAAAGGGGTTCCCGGTGATGATTCAGATGGACACCAAGGTGAAGTTGAAGATGGAGTGGCTCAAGAGCAAGAAAGTGGGGATTAGAGTTGAGTGCGACGGAATCAGGGGGACGGTTCCCAGCGGGAAGACTCCGTCGGTGGCTTCGGTCACGGACTCTGAGTGTAAAGTGGATCTTCGAATCAAGATCTGGAAGTTCTCTTTTTAGATTTTGTTCGATTATCGATATCGATTCGTTACCCCTGTGATGACCAATCTAATCAATTATATTGCTTCTTCTTCTTCTTTTTTTAACAATTCTTTTTTAAAAATTCAATTTTATTTCTTGATCTTCTCATAAGGGAAGTTATCAGCTGTGGAAGAGCATCAGAGTCCATGAAAATTGTGTTCAGGAGGTGAATTTAGAAGTCAGAAGAAGAAAACTTTATGTGAGCTTGTTATTAAATATATGAGAGTTCCTAAATTCAAAACTTTTTTTCACCATTGTGGTTTTCTGGCTGGATGTGATTTCTTAATTTTATAGCAATGTAACTTCACCATTCCCTCTGCTCTCGAAATCAAAGCACAAACGGTCAGCAGTGCTCTGTTTTTGTATTCCCTCCCTTAATGATAGGGCTTAGATGAGAAAACACAGTGAAGGAGTAACATCCAAAGGCAAATGAGGCAGGTTTTTTTTTTGGACTGAAAATGAGACAGGGTTGAAGATGCAAGGAGTGTGATTTAGTTTTGCTTGTTGCTTTAGCAAAGGATATTTGTCTGCTTTTCCCACGCGACGACGACGACCAAGGAGGAAAAGGGGAAGAAAGAGAGGCCAGCGAAGGACCAGCAAAAACTGGACGACGACTTTAAGAAAGGTGCGTCATTTATAACATGGTAAAGTCTGCGATTTGAAGTCTCAACCAATTGAGTATCGGAAAAGATACGAAATGCACAGGGAGTATCAGGTGCTGAATTGTATATATGTTTCAGAAGCCTGTCCCCATTAAACTTGAAGTGGAGTTCTGAACCTTCTGGTAAGCATAAGCACCCTGATCCCCCTTTATTCTCAATCTCGAAACAGCTTTTTAAAGCTCGACGCACAGAAATCAAGATCCAGGCCAGGAACAAACAGTAGGAGTGGGGCTGATCATTCATTGCTGGCCACAAAAGTCTTGCCAGGTGGATGGAGGTGGCATCTCCGCAGGGCCTAATTCCAAGGCTTTCGTGTTGGCGACGGGCCATGGGTACGGTCCTCTCACAGCTTTCTTCCTACGCCTATTGGGCGTACGTCATACGTACACTTCAAATCCATCTTAAGTCCTAACCATCGCAAGGGATCACAAAGGCTGATTCTTTGCTCAGATTTTGCGGGAAAAGAAATGAGTAAATAAATCCAGGAAACGTTTGCAATATAAAACATAATGAACCAATGAGAGGAGGGGAGAATGGGTGAAAGCGAAGTTTTTCTTTAGAAAATATTCAGTAAAAGTGATATTTAACTTATCAATTATCACCGTCGAGTGCAGGGCAAGCATAGATTTGAATACACGAGGTTTCCGTGGAGTCTTGATCTGGTCGGCGGGTTGTTGGATCTTCACACTCACACGCATATAATATTCTCAGTTTGCGTCCGTTTATATCCTTCTGCCAACCCAAGAAATAGAAATATAAAAAGAAAAAAAAAAGGAATTACTCTAATCCTCTTATTGCGTCGATATTCCACGTATGATAAGACAGGCCATTGAGAACCGCGATTAGTCATTTATTACCTTTCAGTGAAGCTGGTTCTCATCAAAGTTTTAAACTGGAAAGCCTCAGTAACTACAGCACTAAATCGGTGGAGTCATGTGTGAAAAAGCGGTGATTGATTCTGATGCTTTTTGAGAGACTTTGAATAGCCTTTTTGTAGGATGAAATGGCCCATGCACGTGATATGATGTGTTAGCGTTAGACAAACGATGGGAATGGTTTTGAAAACCAGGGAATATTGTGGTTGGGACTAGGGCAGGCTTCTTTCTTTTGACTGTCTTTGTCAGAGACAGTGATCTTAATCAGCTTTGCGTAGCCAGGATGTGAGGAAAAGAGAATTTGGGGGGGCGAGTTTGGTGAGGTAGAGTTGGGATTCAGAACAACTCGGTGACTGTGACATAACATCCAAACAAGTACTAAACACGGCCGTTTGAGCATTATTGGGTCGGTCACCTTCACTGCCCCACCTTGCTTTCCAAGTAATGCTACAGCAGAAAGACCTTCATCACCAGAGTGCTACACCGACTTCAAATTTTCAACAAATTCAGCCGCACACTGACAAGAGTCTGCTTTGATGAGATCATATCGTTCCAAATTAAGCGGCTCTGTTCATAACGTCGTTGTCAGAAAAAATCACGAGGGCCGCGTGAAGTAGAGGACTTGATGTCGAATACGAGATTTACAGACCAGACGAAGATGGTCTCGTATGTGTAACGTTAGTGTCTAGCTGGTCTCTTTGGGCTGCAGAAGAGTACAGCTAGTTCAAGAAGATACCAACCATGAAGTTTCCTTCCATGTCCCAGCTATATCAAGGTTTGAACTTGTAGCCCGAAAATCGGATGTACACCCCGGGGGGGCGGAGTATTGAATACTGAGAGTTTGAGACAACTGCTACCTTGCATTCATCATGTCGAATGAGCGGCGATATTATGTTGCTGGTACGAGAAATTAGGTAGAAATTAAGATTTCATGTGTATCCAAGTCAACTAGAGGGTTAAACAAGCTTCAGACTCGGCGAGTCGGCGCCTTCACCCATGATCTAGCCTCCCTCGCTCTCACACCTCGATGACTTGATCCAATGCACCTTGAGACCTGATCCCGTGGGAAAGAAAAGCCAAGTCTTTTCTCATGGGCACAGGCCTCGACCAGCCGGCTAGGTTGAGTATTTTAATTATTAATTTAAAATTTATAATATGTTAGATCCTTTCCAGTTTTCTCTTCTTTTAACCTCACTCGACTAGCTGATTATTTTTAGATGAATTTATGTCATCGTAATAATCAAGCATACTGGCATTTTTCTCCCTCTCTAAACCACTCTGTTCACAATATTGCAAAACTCCAAAAAAAAAAAAAAAACTGAATTAAAAGGGTTCTTCTTAATTGCTTCCGTAAGATTTGGATAATCCAGTTCAATAGATATATAGTATATACTTCCTGCTGAAAGGGAGCTAATTTGTCTGGAAGATGCTTTGGAATGTTTTTCGAAACATGCATGTGGTTTAAAATGTCAACAGAAACGTGCGGCTTTATATTTGTAACATAAAACTTCCTCAATCAAGTGCCATGACGATTGTGGAATACTACTCCAGTCCTAATTATAAAGCTAGTTGACTAATTTAAGGAGATTAAGGAAAAAAGTTAAGTTAGTTATTTACAACAAATATGTATTGTCTTTTCTAAAATATCTTTACTAATCAAATATATTGGTTAGAACTACTATTGTTAAAGATTACTTTGAAAAAATGCATAAATATGAGAGACAAAATGAATTAGAGTTTTATATTTAGACTAAAATAAAAATTAAATAAGATTTTATATTAAGGGGCGAGATAATAGCAAGTCTAGCGTATGTATCTTAGAGGACAAGTATATGACGAATTCAATTTGCCACCTTACCATTCACTGCAATGCTATCGCAGCCCTCATACATCACAAACTCAATGTTGTAATACAAGGAACAACTTGCAAACATTGTGCTGCAACAAGCACCAACTTGGAGGAGCAACATGCATATAAAACCAGCAAACATATAATATCCTTCAGTGAATCTGAATACTTGAAAAAAATTACATTCCTTGGGGTCTAAGTAAAAATGAAATGAACCCTTGGACCCAAACATATCACAGTTGATTATTCAGAGAGATCCACGGTCGCATAATGACATGAATATACCAAAACTGACAGTGAATGAAGATTATAAGGGGAGAAGCAAATTACAAGAGTACTACCTGCAGATGATCTGTTTTGCAGTGACTCCATTAATTTTTCATCCATGAGTGTTGATGGCTTCCCAAACTAAATTTTTGGGAATTGGGTTCGAGAGATTGCGAGCCTCCAAGGCTGCATTCCTCAGCGTTTGAATTGTTAGGGCATTGGCTTTCCAGAAGGACACGCAGTTGTAAGGCAAATTATGCCTCCTGCAAAGATCCTTAACCAAGGGCGAGATTTTCCTCAAATGACATCTGGGCAACCTCGGAAACAGATGATGCTCCACCTGAAATTGTAATCCTCCATGAAACCAGTCCATCCAAGGGAACACTTCACATCCAGCGTCCCACCAGTCTGCTTCTCAAACCAGTCTTTGGAACTCGGTGGCCCCATATACACACTGGACGAGAAATGATTCAAACAGAACTGAACATGTTGTATTCCAGTGACACAGAAACTGGCAATGACAAACATTATTCTTTCACCCCAATTGGGCAAGCAGGAAACTAATAAGGGATACCAAATCCAGAAAACAAGCAGCCCCAGAATCTCCTGCCCTCTGTTGAGTACTTTCCTCTTGGATAAGAGTAAGATGAATGATTGAGCGAACAAGTTTAACCTGGCAAAGCACATTACAGGATAAAACGTCCAATGCTGATAGCTAACCAAGAATCTAGCCACACAATCAAAGTTCAACTTTCTCTCGTAGAAATGCGAAGTCAGTGAATCGAAAAACTTGGAAGACACCGCAAACAATGGCATATGCTGAAGGTCAGGATCGAAATCAAGACTGTTACAGGCAATGTGATGGGCATTGTGGTCCCACTTCCACCACGCAATACTGATCCCTGCGAGGCAATTCCCAGTAAGGATCTGGGCAAAACGATTGAAACCCTTGCTTGTCATTATCTGGTAATGCCCTGAGTCATGTCCAATCCATCCACTCTGAATCCATAAGAACCCCATCAACCCGCCACAACCCAAATGAACCCATGGGCTAGTACTGCACAAAACACCATAAACGCTCACGCAGAACAGAACTGCTATGAAAGAGAGTGCGAAAAACACACCGTGTCCTTTGCTTTCGAATAGACCCATTTTGGAGAATTCCGACACAAGCCTCCGGTAATCCTTGGATACCTCGGAGACAGAGTAATCCTGGAGGTAATATCCGGTGAACAAGTTGCCCAGGTATTGCCATGCAGTGAGGGGATGGTAAGCTACGAAAGCGTCAGTGGCGTCTTGGCCAGCGAGATTGAGGAGAGGAAGCTCACCTCCTGGGTGATGATTTGCCCAATCGGAGACGTCGTAGATCTTGCCCTGTATAGAGATCCATAGATCTCCTCTTTTGTTATGCTTTCTAAGGTCTTGCAGTGAAATGTACTTCCTCGTGTCCCCCATTGCGGCTGAAATGAAGAGACAACAAAGATCTAGCAGTATCAAGAAAGAAGCTTTTTGTGTTAGAAAGAAACCTACTTGTGAGTGTATGATAGCATAACTCGAAAAGGTTTTCTTTTCAGAGAGTTATGGACTAGGATGAGCATCTGGTAACAGAAATCCCAGTGAGTGGCTGCTTTTATTTTGCAGTGATATGAGGATTGGAGGGACAAAGGGAGTGGTAGCGGGAGCAAAGCTCTGTGCTTGTACGCTTGCTTGTGATGCATATTCCGACGAAGACTCGCTAAACGCCACAGAATGCACCAAAGTTTAAACGCAGATGGTATGGCTCCTGTGTGGTTCAATCAACAAGGGGGCTCGGGAAATTAAAGTTTTCATATATAAAATAATTATATTTGATTCCTTTTTCTAGATTATGGGGGTGTTTGACAAAACCAAAATCCTAGATTTCAGAATCATTTTTTCGTAAAACGAATAACTCCTCCACATATTTATTTCGTAATCCGTAAAAACACTTCTAAAACTATGGTTTGGCCAAACATCCCTTATGCATTAGTTAAGGCCGTTTTTGCCTAGCTGGCCCATCATGGGATCAAGGGACCAAATATTTACAGTACAAAGGGTTAACTTTGATAAACAGGGGACGGGGTTAGGACTGTGACTGCTTCAGATTTATCTCAAACAAATGACAATGATGACAAACAAATGTTTATTTTATTAGCTGTATTGCTGTAACAAGCTGTCGCCTGAAATATAGGATATTCTGTCCACCAGAGGAAAGCTTATCGAATGCAGATTACTCCAATTCACACAACCAGAATAAGCAGATAATTTCCGATTGACAAGCAATGGTTCATCTTTTTTCAAAGACATCATAAAATAGGTTTAATGCCTTTTACTTATTATGGCACTCATTTACGGGGATAAAGAGCGTGTGATCAAAACCAGCAAATATTTGGCTAAAAAAAAGAAGAAGCAAACGAGTAAATATAATATGGTATTATTAATAATTCAACTCATCAAATATTAAATACAATTATACAAGAACTAATTTGATATTCAGTTTGTTTCTAAATATATCTCTGTTATTGAAAATTGCATGTTTAGCTTTCATATTTGGCTTGGCACAAGGTCCAAGAACAGATTAATAATTCAAAGATACAGAATATGCCGAAAGGAGATGCTAAAGCATCAACAAGCAAAATATCTTCCAGCTAGGCAATTCTTTTCGGTTGATTGGGACGCTAGCTTGTGAGAGAGAGCTTAGCTATTATTCCTAGTTTTACGGATTATTACGTCTATTTTCAATCCGTTCATGACATTTCTATGTACATAAAATTTTGAAAAAATGGCAAAAAAAGACTGCACAAAGATAAAAATTACAAATAAAAACCCATGATAATATTAGTATAAGTTTTGATAACAATTTTTATAAACCGGTCTCTATGTGTAATTTTTCTATTTTAACATCTTTTTTTTTTACTAGTTTTTTATAAAATTTTCACATCTGAATAATTATTTAGATACAAACGAATCAAACATTTATACGCAGACTTTAAAAAATTACAAGGACGATCAATTACTATCATCTCGTCACAAATAGAATTAGACCAACGACTTTTCATTTGCCAAAAAAGAAATTTCATGACACTAAATTATAATGTCATTACCATTTATACGAGAAGTTAATCATTCAAAGCGACATCAAACTCAACTTCATATTGAAATCATCAGAATTATAATTGAACAAAACTAAAGCCAATATGACAGAATATGCATACGCACGTGCGATTATTCTCATATATAATTTTACATATTTATTATAAAAATAAATATTCCACGCATCGCTTGAGTTGTTCGGTCAAAATATGAACAGTTTCTACTTGCGCTTCCAAGTACTCTCACCCTATAATGAATGATCATTCAGGAAAATAAAAGTAGAAGTTCTGAATAACTGATCACCATTGAATCTTTCAGGTATTGATTGGCCAAGACCAAGAGTGCCAACCCTCTACTAATCAGAATTTGCAATTGGAATAGCAACTTTGAGCATGACAGTAACCACGACTGATACAGCTCTTTACAAAAGAGGAGGATGTTGAAGGAGCGCTAATAATAATAATGCAAAACAAGATAATGGGCGTGAGATCTGTCAGTTTTCTCCAATCCCAACAGCCACTTCCAATGGCCGCTATAGCTACAATTTTGAAGGAAGAGGTTTATCTACTGCTCCAAGTTGTGCCTGCTTATGTGCATCTCCGTCCCCATCACGATGAGCCTGGATGAATTCTAAAACTATGTGGATCAACTCGTCTTGGTGACAAGAGTACTCATGATCAGCTCCTTCTATAATGCGCAGTTCATGATTGGATATGAAATTGGCAAAATCTAAAGCATCTTCTGCTGGTACTATAGGATCCTTGGATCCATGAACTGTCAGTACCCTAAGCATTAGCAAAGGTATCAGTAAAACTCGATCAAACTAGTATTTATAATGTCATTAGTAGGAACGATAACCTTCGGTCTCACCTGCAAGTTTGAGGAATTAATAGGCATGAAGTATGGGTAATAGTGGATAAGCGGTCCATCAAACTTTCCTCGGTGACACGATAGATAAGTTTCCCTATTAGAAGAAAAGGAATATTACGACAAGGCTATTCCGTATTGACGGACAACAGAAAAATAAAACTCCAAGCAATAGCTAAATACAGCATGTTTTCAGTACTCTTTATTGCATGACATAAAAAGAGAGCACAAAATATCCATGGCATTGACAATGATAAGTTGACCAAGAGATGCCAACATATTATACCAAGACTGTAGATCATCAGAATTTTAGACCACTCAAACAATTCATGGCAACAACTAAACAAAGTAGCAAGAAAGCATTGACGAAGACATGCTGCCATTACAATAGTACTTACAGATAGGTAGTATTCAGAGATTAATTGCATTGAAAAGCTCACCTCTTGCATTCTTAACATCAATAAATCCATCTCGCTTGATTCTTTGCATGAAATTTTTTCCCAAGCGACCTTCTATGCCTTTCACTAGATTAAACCGGCCAGAAATATTGACAATAATATCAACATCCTTATATTTTGAGGCATATAAAAGTGCCACATTACCCCCTGCAAACGCCATTACAGAACCGCTATAAATAAGTTGTTCAACCTGCAGAGGGTAAGCTGTTTAGCATTCTCAAAAGATCTTAAGGTTCAGTTACCATTACATTTATCCAAGAATGCATTCTTAGCTAAAATTGCAAAAACATATCTCATCAGTTTAAACAGGTGACATGTAACCCAACTATTTATTCTCCTCGATTATCCTACTCTTTCCCATAAGATATTTCATCTCTAAGATTTACATATGCAAAACATCTCATCAGACAACTTTCGTTCATCATATGCTTTCTCCAAAACCATGTACAGATCTAATTCTCTCTCTGCACATTTTTACAGGTCTTCTCAGTTAGAATATGGATTTCACAAAAGATTATCTAGGAACAGAATTAATTATAATGATTCCAAAGGACTTCTACTTTTAGGGCTAACCTATATTTAAAGGATAATACTCACATCGAGTTCCTTATATTCATTATGACAAGTTTTCCAATCACACATGACCATGTGTCCCACTTTTAAAATATTAGCATTTAATAACATTTAATTATAAATCCATATGAAACAAAAAAAGATACATGGCCATGTGTAATTTGAGAATTTGACATAATGGATATAAGAAACTTGACCTAAGTTTTTTTCCATGGGAGTTTCGTCATTGATAACTAAAATTAAGTAAAACAATCATAGCCGAATAAGTTAAATAAAGCAAGAGCTAGATGAGGAAACAGCGTATATCAAGCCACAGCTAGAATATTCGTTGTGTCATTGACTGATATTCCATTAGCATGAGCCCAGTTTCAGAATTGAGCATATTTGTAATCTGACCTTTACTGTGACCAATGATTGCGGTAATTATGTACTTCTCCTCCCTGAAGTGCTGCACTACAGCTCGCAGGTCATCAGCTTCCCTATAGTAATTACCATACCGAAACAGACCTTCACTTTCCCTGGAAGACAGTATTGGTCACCTCAATTAGCACCCAAATCCATATCAAATTCTTATCGTTCAATGTTCAGTATCTTATCAAGAGGTACACTTAAAAGTTAAAAGTTGCCAGATAAGAAGAATCCACTTCATTTAATTTTATAATAGAACTAATCCCATTCTTTTCTATTTTGAATCCCTTGCTTTCAATGCTTGTTATTGTTGTTTTGCGTTTTTTTTTTTTTTTTTTTTGGGGAAGCCGAGAATGGCAGAGAAGATTTGATGCCTTGATGTGTATGCCCAATTACCATAACGGACATCAAGACTGCATTGAAAGGACATTTTATGAAACTAGCATGAAAATTTACTCTTCATTTTGGTGATATAGAATGCAAGGGTTGGGATCTTGCTATGACTACATTGACAAAACATTTGCAGCACAACTACTGGATACTCTTCGAGTTCATGTTACCATGACATTCTAAAATCTCTCCGAATAACCCAGGAAGAAAAAGTCAAGGGTGAACAATCCAAAACATCAAACTAGAAACCAAAATCTTCCGTCCTTGAACAAAATATCAATACATTCATTCAATATACATTCATTTGCAGAAGATCATACCCATTTCCAGCAAAGTCAAAGCGGAAGGCACTAGTTCCATTGTTTTCCAGAGCAGCAGCAAGATTCACCATGGGAATTCTTTCCTAGAAATCATGTCATCTGATCCTTTAGTAGAGAACAACCAGTACTTTCAATATGCAACGTGCTAGTGAAAATGTATGAATAACAGCAAAAGAAGTTGACACACCAAATCTCATAAACATCTAAACACCCAAAAATGTTCTGTTTGTTTCAAGGGGAAACAATTAAAAAGAAAAAAACCCTAAAAATGACCTTATTAGCTATGCTTCTGTATGTAGTGGAATCTCATTTCTTAATTTAATAGGTACACGTTAGATCAAATTACAACATGACCTGGAGAGGAGTTTAGAAGGTTTAATACCACCATGGTGAAATTGGAACGAAAATCTTGTATAACGGGTTAACTGTTAACTATTAGTGATTAGTCCATTGCGTACAATAAATACTAGATATAGCAGATCCACATGTTCTAATGTATATTGCTGAAGTGTGAGTAGTTAGTCTGAGGTCCATAATTTGTCAAGACCAATAACCTTGGAAGATTGCAATCCATGGCACAAAATGACAAGCTCTGTTGAACCTGCACCATGCAAAATCCCCACAAGCTTTTCCCCATGGTAGTTTTCAACTATAACTCTTTGGTTCAGCCTTCCTGCAGTCAGGGTAGCACCACCGTAGTTTCAATAAAACGTTTATAACATATATTCATCAATCAAGTCAACTTGTTGCAGCGCACGTCTAAAATAATTTGATATTCATTCATAAAAAAATAGACCCGCAAACTATGTCTGTCAACACGAGCAAGGATTAAAGAAAGCTGAATTTCGTTTCAACAAGTTTAAGAAAATATCAGCTGCCAAAATAGACAAATTGGTTGGAGAATTTGGACGCGTAGGTTAAGAATACATCGATCGATGGGTTTAGGGTTTATAGGGGGATTGTAAATTCTTGGGATCGCTTTTGGCTCAGACAAATTCTAGAGAACTTTAATTTTGATGGGCTCCCGCATGAACTTCATTTTCCGCTCCCTCCCCCATCAATTTCATCTTTTTCCCCATTGTTCTTATTTCTTTATGAGAGTACAAAAAACATTGGGATCAATTTTCATGCCAGACAAGTTTCAGAGCAGCCATCTTCACTGGTTCCGATGACATGAAAACGATAACCGATGCATCATGCATGCGGCAACGATGGAGAAACTAGAGGGCTGACAAACTATGCAGCATACGACGTAAATGCGAAAAATGGCTCACCGGGAGCGCGAAAGCGTTCATCTGCAGGTTGAATCGGACGAGTCATCTGGGCTTACCACCGGAGTCAGTATTTAGCTCCACCGTGTCACTACTGTGTAACTGCAGCCACTTTGGCAAATTTCTCTTTCCCTTACAACCTGTTGGGCCGTGAATATGTTTCACCGGATTCAGCCGCTTCGAGCAGGAATTTACGTTGTAGTTCAATACTTAATTTTCAGCTACTGATGTAAGTAAAAGCTGCATATAATTTTTTTTAAACATAAAAACTACATAAAATACTGTAATGCTTCTATCAATTTTATATTTCGCATTACTGGTAAAAAATTTATATTTCATATTGATATTAACATATTAAGCAAAATTTATACAAGCTATAATATCTATCCTCAAAACATCATATGAGCATTACGTGTTAAATTTTTTTGTGCCTCATTCCAACTAACGAAACCACGCAAAGAACAAATGATAGTATTTCCAAAATCGATTACCCCACATTTTTAGCCATCTCCCATTTGTCCTACAAGTTATAATTTTTCTATGCCTAGAAAAAGACACAAAAAGGAGATTCAAAAACCACTTCAGTTCCGACACTACGTATTAAATTTTCATGATTTAATAATGTAAATTGTTAATCTCAGATGTAAAAAGGCACATACATATGCATGCACACCAACATATATAGTGACATTTTTCATGTTAGGTTCCAAGTCCGAAAATCACTTTTACGAGTATAAAATTATTAAAACGTATAATTATGATCTCAACAAATCCCTGGGAGTTTATCATCCAGTCTGGTATTTTGAAACACAACTTTAAGAAGTAACATTTCGCAATCATACCCAAATACAAACATTTGAATGCGCCAAATAATATTCCAAGGCGAAAAAAATGCGTCAAAAAATACATGCAAGACTCCCCCGGAGCGTTAAAAAGCATACTCATCCGTCGTTTTTTAGTTAAGAGCAGAAATAAAGTGCACAGTGATGATCCGAGCACCGCGCATTCTCATAACCCAAATTTACCACCGAGTTCTTCAGATTCACATGTAATATTAATCTCACTATTTTGGTTGAGTTACTCAATTCAAAGAACATTTCTACGTGTACTTCGCTCAAACAACAATAGCTAAGAACTAAAATTTTGAGCAAATTTGGATCCGCCATAACGAAATTAAGATTCCCCCACAAGGCCAGAATCACATCAACTATCTGCACATTAATAAACAGCCTCTTACAGCTGCCTTGCTAAGATCCAACGGGAGCAACACCCTGAGCCTTGGCTGCTGCAGTGGCCGCAGCGGCTGCAGCAGCAGCAGCGGCAGAAGCTGCCGGGTTAGGTTTTGATTGTGAACTATTCTGTGCTTCAATTGCTTGCGGCTGCGGTTGCTGCTGAGACTTCACTTTAGCAAGCACGGCCTTTATTTGACTTCCCGTCAGAGTCTCGTGTTCTAGAAGAGCATTTGCAAGGGCATGGAGCTCCTTATTGTGAGTGGTTAGAATAGTTTTTGCGTTGTTGTAAGCTCTCTCCAAAAAGAGCTTGACCTCCTTCTCAATAAGAAGCCTAGTTTCTGAGCTCATGCTTCTCCCGTCATCGTTATAATTGTGAGTGACAAGTCCCACTTCATTGCTCATACCATATTTAGTAACCATAGCCCTGGCCAAATTAGTTGCTTGCCTGAGATCGTCTGAAGCACCAGAAGTAACTTCATTTTCTCCAAAAATCAGCTCTTCTGCAACCCGACCACCCATGCAAACATCGAGGCGAGCAAGCATCTGTTTACGGGAGATACTGGTCTCATCCTTGTCGGGCAATTGAGTTACCATGCCAAGAGACATTCCTCTTGGGACAATTGTTGCCTTGTGAACTGGAAGTGCCCCATCAGTATGAATGGCCACAAGAGCATGACCACCCTCATGGAAAGCAGTCATCTTTCTTGATTCATCAGTTACAACAGCTGACTTACGCTCACTGCCCATCAAAACTTTGTCCTTCGCATACTCTAAATCAGTCATGCTCACAGCTTTAGCACCATCCATAGCAGCCTTAAGAGCAGCAACATTTACCAAGTTCGCAAGGTCAGCACCAGAAAACCCAGGTGTTCCTCTAGCAATAATCATTAAATCAACGTCATCAGCCTTCAGAACCTGCTAAGGCATTAACAATTGCAAATATAAAATCAGCAAGAGCATGAATTTTATAGCAGAACAGGTCAGCTCACAGAATATAAAAGTGAAACAGATAATAGGATCCAGCTATACTAAATCTGGCTTTGACAACGCCCAAGATCCTGTTGCCTGCTTGTGATGAAAATCTATGATTGCAATTAACATGACCTAAGTTTAAAATTATCAGAAAGATGCTGCCAGTTTTTTTGAGTGCAAGTTAATACACACAAGAACCAAAAGGATACACTCAATCATAACTCCGTAAAAACAAAAGGCATTTAAAAATAGGTTCGCAATGCCATAGTGCATCATAATAAGCCATCCAACCCAAGCCATAAGGATGCTCCACAAGAAGAGAAAATCATACCTTGGACATATGGAATTCAAGAATCTGCCGCCTTCCTTCTACATCTGGATTGGGCACAACAACATGGCGATCAAACCTCCCCGGTCTCACCAAAGCCTTGTCCAATGACTCAGGAAAATTAGTAGCTGCAATCACAATAATGCCTTCATTTTGCTTGAACCCATCTAGTTCAACAAGCAACTGATTTAACGTCATCTTCATGTACATCTGGTCCTTTGGGTTTCTGCTTCCTCCAATAGCATCTATTTCATCAATAAAAATTATACATGGTGATCGCTTCTTTGCAGCAGTAAAAAGATCCCTGACCCTTCGTGCTCCAACACCAACAAACATCTCTTCAAATTCACTTCCACTGCAAGAGAAGAAAGGAACCCCAGCCTCTCCAGCTATAGCCCTTGCCAACATTGTTTTTCCAGTCCCAGGAGGGCCAACGAGCAAAACACCTTTTGGCAGCTTACCTCCGAGACGGGTAAAGCGCTGTCACAATGAAACAGAGTCATCCAAATGTGCTGATGATGTTCATACACATGGTCAGGAAAACAGCATATAAAATAAAACTACAAAACATTAAATCCACCGAACAGGAAACGAATCATAAGGAGTGAGGCAGCAACATAGTTAAGGAAACCAAGCCAAAACAGTCAAAAAGGCATCCGAATTCACAGAATTGATTATAATTTTTTTTTACTATTTTCTGCTTGATTGAACAGCACATTTCATCTTAGAACAGCATCACTTTCCCAGTGACATCTTGAGAGTAATTTTCCACAATTATTATCTGGATCCTCAAGTGCAGTAGGTTAAATTAAGTTAACCAACACAATCTCAATATAACATATGACAATGAATTCATATAAAATATATCCTATAGATAAATGTTTCAAGAAGCTTGGGTGTGAGACATTTATGAGAGAAAGGACTTGTACCAGAGTTGTCTACCTTAGGATCCCGGAGGTAGTGCACAATTTCTTCCAGCTCTGCTTTTGCCTCATCAACACCTTTTACATCACTAAATTTTGTACTTGAATCCATGCTAGGTTGCACTTCTTCATTCATACCAAGTCCTGAGAAAATAAGCGAACAAACCAAAGAATAGTGTTTTCATCAAACTCAGATTCCATACAAAATGATCCTCAGGATCTGAAAAGTTAGCAAGACAAGGTATTACCTTTACTGATTCCCTTATCTTCAATAAGTGCTCCTACACCAGAAATCAGGAGAAAGACCACGGCAATGGACCGAAATGTTCGCCACAGCTGCTCTTTTAAATTTCCACCTTCGGCAGCCACCATATGGATTGGAGCACTTGCAGTTCCAAGAATTCCATCTTTAGTGGGCTTTCCTACATTTTTTAAAGCAGCAAGGCCACCAACGCTATCTTCCTCCCTCACTGAATTAGAAATGCCTGCAAATCCACAGACGTGTGGCTATAACTTCTAGTTCACGTAAATTGTGCTAAAGATAAAAGATCCCAAAAAGTAATTACACAAACTCACAGAGACAAGAAATAACATTCTTCATATAAGTATGTAACTGAAATGGCAAATTTAAAGTTTGCAAACTCCAAACAGCTGAAGTCAAGATTGTTGTGGGATAGATTTACAATCCTGCATCATCCTCAGTATTTTCAAATAACAAGGCATTTTTAAATTCACGTGTTTGATATGACCCATCTAGTGAGATAAGGCTTGTTGTTGTTGTGTTTTATATGACACGTAAAATTTTTCATAGGAACAAAATCATTAGCATTATTAGTATTTTATAAATGTGAGCAACACTAAACTTGAAAGATTTGAGGTCCACATATTTAATGGTGGAATAAAATACCACCCAGAATGATGAGGTTCTATGTCTCCTGATATCTTGGATGAGTTTTGAATTATAGGGCTTGATTTAGCAGGAGAAACATACCTTTATTTGCTAGATTAAAAAAAATCCAGTTTCATCGAGCAAGGTTAACAGGTCGGTTGACAAGTAATATATGTCAATAAGCACAAGCAAACGCATATGCAGATAAAGCATCAAAGAGAACAAAAGTGGTGACGGCCAAAAGGCTACCTCTCCGCAATGTCTTCAATAATTCACTTTCATCCAGCCGATCAACTTTCACTAACGCTTTAATATATTCAGAAAGTGCTGACTGATTCGTATGCAATGATGGCTGACTTTCAAACAATCTAATCACAGCTTCAGGGTCATTTCGATGGTAAAGTTCTTTAAGATGAGCAACATCACTGGCTTCATCTGCGTCACGTACTCGTCGAGCCAGATTGCCAACATAGCTAGACCGGAATCTCTCCTGAGTGAACAAAAACCCATTTCCTGCAAAATTTTCGAGTCCGTGAGACATAATATACATTCCCACATATTTGGACACAACAGGTGCACTTAATTTCACATCTTGAAACAAACTGCTACAGAGTATACATGAAAAAGAACCAAAGGATATTCTCCAAATCAGTATAATTTGCCAAAATTGCCGCATTATAAAGAAGGATCAATGCACGTGTTGATGAATAACATAAACTACATTTCGATGAGTTAATTACTTAATCATAAGACTTGTATGAAAAACAGGGACATAATATTACATACCAGCTCGAGCTTCAAACTTACTAACAGATAAATAGGTTCTAGCAAACAAACTGGTAATCTGTCCATATTGTGATTGATATCGTGAAACCTGTAAAGAAAAATTATAAAGTAAACTTCAAAATTGAACACCAGCAGTTAGCTTAATCAAATATAAATCATCAACCTGACATGAGCACTAACTAACAAAAATTGAATAACCCACTCATATATCCAAACATATTCAGCACGACATAAACTTGTAGATGCTGCAGTTAACTTGACAGCCAGTCTCAGAAAAGGGGAATGACAATACTACTGCAACTGCTCTACATTTTAGTGCAGGAACTTTAGCCTTTTTGACATTATAGGTGTGTCACTTCAAAGACAATACTTTCTAGTTCATATACATCATATTTCAATTTGCGTCCATCACTTCCCGACAGGTTTTCCCCTAGTAACTCCCTTAAGACTCTGTCCCCATACAGCACATCAAGAGGGAAAAATCTAAGAAGCGAACAGCCAGCGATCAAAAACTTCTTGACCTTTAAAGAAACTTCATTTCTATTTTCTAAGTCAAATAATACAGAACAGGTAATCTCGCAAAAAGTCATTTATCCATGCTCTAGTCTTCTGTTTCATTGCTCGACGGACTAAGCGATTGGAAAAGAAACCCAAACATCTAAAGATTGCTTCTTGATGTATCTATTTTCTTTCCCCATCGTTTTCTTCCATCATTTTTCTCCTCCAGCGCTGAATTCCGTTTTTCATCCATTATCCATTTAAGTCGCAAATAAACACAGAAAAAATGACAGATTAAATTAAAAAAAAAAAGAAGAACGTGCTGAAAATAGCAACACTAGGGTTTTCCGACAGGAGGGAGAAGTCAAAATCTATGCTAAACATCGGTGGTATCACGATTAATGCGGGGCGGACATGACAGAGGAATTGACTGACCTGCGAAATCAAATGCCTCCAACCCATATCTCGGCGAGAAACCAGAAGAGGTCGGTTGCTACTCAATCACGCCGTAGGATTTTTTTTTTTTTTTTGCCTGAGTAGGGGCTGTCTATCTATCACAAGTCGTATGAAATAAGGGAGGACAGAGGTGACCAAAAAATGAAATAACTTGATTCCGAAATTAACACATCGTTTTCCCTCAAGCATTTTGGTGAATGCTGCTGCAACTTTTATCACCAGAAAAAAATAATAATAATAAGATGCTACTTCCTATCCTCTCGATATTCCCTCATTGATGTTAAACATAACATCTTAATCCATTATTCTCATATATATATATATATATATATATATATTTTTAAAATAGTTTTTTTAATAATGATAGTTCTATCTAATACTATTGATTAGTAAGGATATTTTAAAAAAAATTATATCTATTTATTACAAATAACTAACTTAACTCATTTTCTTAATTTATTCAAATTATTCAATTAGCTCTTATATTTAGAATCAGAGGTAGTATAAGAACTTGTTTGATTTTTATTTTGAACATAAATATAAGAGTCAAATTCACTTTGTTTCTCATATTTATCTTTTTTTTTAAGATAGTCCTTATAATAATGATAGTTCTAACCAATACACTTAATTAGTAAGAATATTTTAGAAAAAGTAATATCTATTTATTATAAATAACTAACTTAACTAGTTTTCTTAATATACTCAAATTAATTACCTAAGTCTTCTATTGATGGAAAAAAAATTAACCGTAATAAAAAAAATCATCACTAAAAATGCTTTTCATAATGATTTTTATGAGTCTTAGCGATAACATTTATTACTGATTAAAAATAGTTTTAAAAATTATTTTTATTTAAGAAAATGTTAAAAATAAATAACTAAAAACTAATTAGGAAGCACAAAAAACATAAAGAGAGAAGCATAATAACAATATAAATATAAGGACAAAAATATCTTTTAATTCTAAAAAGCTATTTTTGTATAAATCATAAATAAGTTTTATGTACTTTTATAATTATGTTTAAAAAAACATTTTGATTCACAAATCACATTGGTCAAAAACTATAAAAAAATAACTCTCAAATTTATAAACCGACTCATTTTTATAAACTATTTTTATCCCCCAAAGCGCCTCAGCAAACAGGCTGACCACATCTGAAGGCCACCACTGATCCTCCCTCTTTCCCCATCGCGTCCACTATTTATTTTGTGATATCTAACTTAATAGTTCACTTATTTTAATATTTTAATTCAAAATATCTAAAATAAAATAATTTGAAATTTGAAATAAAATTCAAAGTTCAATTTAATCCATAAATAAATATATATATATGTAGGTTTTGACTCTTGATAAAACGTTTAATACTCCTCCGGTCCTAATTATAAGACCCAATTGACTTATTTGAGAAGATTAAGGAAGTAAGTTAAATTGGTTATTTATAATAAATAAGTGTTGTCATTCCTAAAATATCCTTACTAATTAAGTATATTGGCTAAAACTATCATTATTAGAAGGATTATCTTGGAAAAAAATACATAAATATAAGAGACAAAATGAATTGGGTCTTATAATTAGGATCAAATAAAAAGTCAAATTGAATCTTATAATAAGGACCGGAGGAGTATCTTTTTTCTAATTCTAAAATCTAGTATAAAAACTGACTTCAAATAATTCAACCAATAAATTCAAATATAAATAATTCATCGGGTTCAATAGTTACTATTTTACAAAATATTTAAATTTAACGAATATATAAAAGGAAAAAAGACAGAAAAATGCCATTTGAACTTCATAATCCCAAATGGTCTGCTGAATTTGAGAAATCCCAATTTAGTCTCTTTAGGATTATTATGTTAGAAGAAAAGACCAAATTGCCCTTTATTTTAAATATTGTTTTTAAAATATCACAGCCTCCACTGGCCGGCCGGTTGTCGAAGCTTCGGCGGCGGCAATCACCGGAGCTCCGGTGACCGGCCGACAATTGGTCACCGGAGCTCTGTTGGTCAGAAAAAAATTTTTTGAAAATTTTTACAACTTCAGTATAACAGTTAACAACTTTTGTAATGCTATTAACAACTTTAGTATATCAGTTAACAACAGGTTTTCTAGGAAAATTCAACAAGTTCTGGCGACCGGAAACAATTTTTTAAAAATTTTTTACAACTTCAATATAACCGTTAACAACTTTTGTAATGCTATTAACAACTTCAGTATATCAATTAACAATAGATTTTTCATAAAATTCAACAATTGGTCACCGAAGCTTCGGAAGAGGAAAACAACTTTTTTGAAAATTTTTACAACTTCAGTATAACGGTTAACAACTTTTGTAATCATATTAACAACTTAAGTATAGCGGTTAACAACAGTTTTTGAGTTTGTTAACGGCATTACTGAAGTTATAAAAATGCCACTTTTTGAATTTTTCAAAAAACCTGTTATTAGCTGCTATATCGAAGTTGTTAATAGAGTTACAAAAGTTGTTAACCGTTATACTGAAATTGTAAAAAAAATTTTAAAAAAACATAATTGTTAAAGTTATAAAAATGTCATTTTTTGAATTTTTAAGAAAACCTGTTGTTAAACGCTATACTGAAACTGTTAATAGAGTTACGAAACTTGTTAACGACATTATTGAAGTTGTAAAAATGCTACTTTTTGAATTTTTCAGAAAACTTGTTATTAACTGCTATATCGAAATTGTTAATAGAGTTACAAAAGTTGTTAACCGTTATACTGAAATTGTAAAAATTTTCAGGAAAAAAACATAATTGTTAAAGTTATAAAAATGTCATTTTTTGAATTTTTAAGAAAACATGTTGTTAAATGCTATACCAAAGTTGTTAATAAAATTACAGAACTTGTTAACGGCAGTATTGAGGTTGTAAAATTGCTACTTTTTGAATTTCTTGAAAAACTTATTGTTAATAGCATTATAAAAGTTGTTAACCGTTATACTGACGTTGTAAAAATTTCAAAAAAAATTGTTTCCGGCTATCGGAGCTTAGGCGATCAATTGTTGAATTTCCCAAAAAAACTATTGTTAACTGCTATATTGAAATTGTTAATAGCATCACAAAAGTTGTTAACTGTTACACTGAAGTTGTAAAAATTTTCCACTTCAGTATAACGTTAACAATTACATTTTTTCTAAAAAAATTTTACAACTTCAGTATAACGGTTAACAACTTTTGTAACTCTATTAACAATTTTGATATAGCAGTTAAAAATAGGTTTTTCAGAAAATTCAAAAAGTGGCATTTTTATAACTTCAGTAATGCCGTTATCAAACTCAAAAACATATTGTTAACCGCTACACTGAAGCTATTAATGTGGTTACAGAAGTTGTTAACCGTTATACTGAAATTGTAAAAATTTTCAAAAAAAATTGTTTTCCTCCGCCGGAGCTCCGGCGACCAATTGTTGAATTTTTCGAAAAATATGTTGTTAACTAATATACTAAAGTTGTTAATAGCGCTACAAAAGTTGTTAACGATTATATTGAAGTTGTAAAAATTTTCAAAAAAATTGTTTTCGGTCGCCGAAGCTTGTTAAATTTTTCAGAAAACCTGTTGTTAACTGCTATACTGAAGTTGTTAATAGCATTACAAAAATTGTTAACCGTTATACTAAAGTTGTAAAAATTTTCAAAATTTTTTTCTGACCGACGGAGCTCTGGTGACCCGCCTGCCTGTGGAGGCTATGATATTTTTAAATAATATTTAAAATGGAGGGCAATTTGGTCTTTTCTTTTAATGTGATAATCCCAATTTGGTCTATTGGGATTTCTCAAATTCAGCAGACCATTTGGGGATTATGAAGTTCAAGTGGCATTTTTCTATCTTTTTCTCTATCTAAAAAGGTTAAGATAATGATAAAAGTGAAGAAGATTGAGATCAAAAATTAAGAAATATATATATAAATTTAAAGCTGAAATTCAAAATAAACACAAATGATTCAACTAATATCCAGCGAACGAGTTGCCCGGATGCCGCCATGCAGTGGGGGGATTCAGGGGCTGCTTGGCAATGGCAAAAACTATAGTTTTGGAACCTAAACCAAATTTGCCAAACAGGGGAAAAATCAGCCAATGACGGTTTTTGGCCAAAACCATGGTTTCAGAAGAAGTGAATCCATTTTACTTCTGGGTCAAATTAGAGAGTATAATTGTACCTGTCAGAGTAAATCACAACAGTAATATGACTTTAACACCGCTCAATTATTTTTCTATAAACATATTTAATTTTATATTTTATAAATATATATACAGATATTAATTAATTATTAATTATATTATCGTATATATTATTAATTATGTTAGTAAAAAATATATTATTAACAATTTTATTCTTTTAAATTAAAATATATTATAAAATCTATCTTTTATGTAATTATTATATTAACTTATACCTTTTTTAGTAATTTGCGCATATAAAAAATGTTTCTGATAACAACTATCTAAACACTCTCACTTTATCAAAATTTATTCTCCACAAAATTTATTCTTTGGAAGCTATTTTCTAAATCATTGTTTGGTTTCATCCAAATACTCCGTGAGTGACGCCCAAAGACACCATCTTAAAAAGCGCCCCTCTTTAAGATTAAGGGGTGCTTGACATTTGAGAAAAATACTTTTGAAAAAGTATTTTTTTTATAAATCGAGGTAAATTTTTTCAAATATTTACTTTGTATATTATAAAATCACTTTTAAAATCATGGTTTAGTTTCCATCCAAATACCTCATAAGTAGATTTTTTCCACAATGACAAGATGAGTAGAACAAGAAAAAAATTGGCAAGGCAAGAGAGTTGTCCAAAAACTCGGAACTCAGGAGTTATTATGAATTTCAATCTCATACATTTTTAATAGGTTGTGGATCACAATATTGCTGGGTACACTTAAATACATTCAATGACAATTAACTAGTTGATGAATACATATTGTGATACTCATGAACACAATTAAATGAGTTATTTTAAGTAGTCATTAACCCGCTTGGTGACTTTTAAGATGAATAAAACCTTCCATTACAAAGGTTGAAGAAGTGGACATATTAATTAGATAAATATTTTTTATAAAAATGCCTAGTGTAATATTTGACTACGGTACAATGAGTAAGG